GACATTTGTGTCTCTCGATCTGGTCAGATGTTTGCCACAATGTCAGAATCATCAATTGCTCTTTGGCAGACTAGGGTATGTCGACAGCAATGTTATCGTTCATGGGGAAAGTCTGAGCTGGATACTGACAATTCTGGCAGCCCACAGCAGTCGTTACAGCAATCTCACGATCCCGATTCTCCTTGAAAACATACGGTCCGAATGTTTCACTCCTGATGCGCCCAGATTCGACGATCCTGGTTGTACAGACGCTCAATGGGTACCTACTCACATACTCGGTGGCATCGGATTCAACAACTCAAGTCTACCAGCAGCGATTTGATCATTCCACACACCATCGTCGTCAACAATTAGCCCAGTTCTCAGCCGTTGAAGAGGCCAATGTGGTTAGGGACATCACCATCCGCTTCCGAATGGCCATCAAGATCGAGTCGGGGATCGTCAAGGCGCTGGCGCTAGATCAAGAGCTTATTGTCGCCACGGTAAAACCCTCAGCTATACAATGCATTCGGTGGACGGCCGAGGCGGGAGCAACACAAACCACATCTGAGTTATTAAGTCGCATCCTAGGTATCTCGAAGAAGATCTCCATCGTGGACATGGTTTACGATCGTGCGATGAATCTCCTCATCTGGATTACCAGCAGTGGCCAGGCATATGCTGTGCAGCGAGACGCGGGCTCACAGCAGGATCCTGAAGCAGCCAAGAGACTATTCCACGGACATTGCTTCCATAATCCCAAGGATGACAGCGAAAAGGCAGTGAAGGTGACCGTAAATGCACGCTTCTCTCTGTTGACTGTGAGCTGCTCAAATGGGGACGTGTTGGTTTATACTGCAAAAGATTACATGGGCAACATTCCGCTTTCACAAAAGCTCCATCTACCAGCATCACCCACGACTACCGGGGCTTTGACTTTCATGAGCTACTCCCCGGATGGATATTGTCTCTTTGCTGGTTTCGAAAATGGCTGGACAACATGGAGTGTATTTGGGAAGCCTGGAGGAAACAGCTTTTCTGTGGACACTGCTTTGGCTACGGCTAACTCAGAGGATTGGTTAACTGGCGTGTCAGACGGATGTTGGATTGGGGGCGGGTCAGACATCATTCTCTCTGGACATAACGACCGTCGCCTGTGGGTTCTGGAGACAGCTCGCAGTGCTTTGACCGGTTGCTTTTCGTCTGCGAACCTGGCTAGAGGCCTGCTGCAGACTGGGACCGAGTGTATCCTCTACCGCGGCCATGACCTCCCAGATCTCATGACAATCTCAGGAAAGGATTCGCTGTGGCATCATGCCCAGTATCCTCCAGCATATCTTCATTCACAGTGGCCGATTCGATCTTGCGTCGTGTCTCAGGATGGACGGTATGTTGCAATCGCAGGCCGACGTGGCCTTGCACATTACAGTGTCAACAGCGGCCGATGGAAGGTATTTGAGGATTCACAAGCCGAAAGCTCCTTTGCTGTGCGGGGAGGCATGTGTTGGTACGGCCACATACTGATCGCGGCGGTGGAGAGTGACGGATCATACGAGGTACGATATCTCTTAAACCTACATTACCTCCGTGCATGACTGACTTTTATTGAAAGATTCGTCTTTATTCGCGCGAGGCTTCTCTCGGTAGCAATTCGATTATGTTCATCGAATATCTCCCATCACCAGTTGTGTACATTGGAACCTCTGGGGAGGATTCCCTCTTGGTTTATACATACGATAACATTTTGTACCATTATATCATTAATTCGACACAGCCTCAAATAACTCTTGTCCCTGTTGGACAGATCGCTTTCAATGGAATTGTCCGGGCACCTTCTCGCGTTCGATCGATCAGCTGGGTATTGCCCGAGGAGCAGATGCGTGAGTTAGCTTGTTTCTTATGCAGTCATCTGGGCAAATCACTGACAACAAAGCAGGAAACGGTGATCCATCTCAAGACGTAAAGGTCGCATCGGTGATTCTTCTCGTGGATGGCAACTTGGTGTTATTGCAACCCACGGTCTCAGATGCGGGCGACCTCAAATACGATATGCGCGTCATATCTCATGATGTCGAGTACTATATCTTGATGCGTGACCAGATTTCCTTCAACTTTCCCTCGCAGGTTGATGAATCCATACCAGCCAGTCCCTCAGTTGATATGGCACTGGAGCCACCTCACAAAAGCCTGTCGCTACGGGACTCTCTTTGGATGTTCCGTGGCCAAAACTTGCTAGCTTGGAATGATGTTCAAGATGTTTTGCAGGAGGAGATGGTGCCGGCGCCACTCAATGTCCCCTTGGACTTTTATCCGTTGTCTGTTTTACTGAACAAAGGCCTTGTTCTCGGTGTTGAATCGGAAATGATGCAACGACGCGATGTAACATTCACTGTTCTGAAATTCGCCATCCGGGTATGTTATTTTCTCTATCTATAACATTCTATACTGACCTGTGTGCCCCAGACACATCTTTTCTTACCATATTTCCTCCAATATGGCTTGACCAGTATTGGAACACCTGCGGCTCTCGCTCTCTGCCGTCACTTTTCTCATTTGTCTTACTTCGCTCATGGATTGGAAATCCTACTTCATCACGTGCTGGACGACGAAGTGGATAATGAGAGCCGAGCAAATAAAAGTGACGATCCACAAGCACGAGCAGAACCACTACTCCCAACCGTCATTGCTTTCCTCCAAGCCTCGCTTCCCCCCAGGGATTACCTTGAGATTGTGGTACAATGTACACGGAAAACAGAGCTTCGATCATGGCGCACACTATTCACCTACCTGCCGCCACCCAAGGACCTATTTGAACAGGCCTTGAAACTGGACTCCCTCAAAACTGCAGTTGGATACCTCCTTGTGCTACAAGCTTTCGAGGATGAGGAGCAAGGGCATGATGGCCGCATCGAAGAATACGTTGTCCGTTTGATTGCCCTCGCCTCCCAGAAGGGAGACTGGGAGCTGTGTGCTGAGCTGGCCCGCTTCCTTATTGCTTTGGATGCTTCAGGCGAGATGCTTCGGCGCGCAATTTCACGAGTTGGTCTGCGATCCAACTCTCGGTCTTCCGCGAAAGGCTCATTTTCTGGCTCGGCACCCCGGTTTGGTCCTGCAGGTGTCCAAGGTCTAGGCTTGAACCTCCCAATTAGGTCGCCGTCATGGACGTCTCTTTCCCCAACATCGTCTCCCACACCCCTTCCAAGCCGCCAAAATGGTGATGTGCCGGATGAAGATCCATACTCAGCGGATTAGCAAGATAGATAACCAAGAAGAGTTTTGTTGATAGTAAGTACGGTCAGATAATAATTCCATAGTGATCTGGCATATCAAATTCTTTAAATAATACGTATGAAATTGACATCAGAGTACTATCCTAGTTCATAGCGCTTACTAGATAAGTCCTTGCAATTTCCCAATGCTTGTCCTAGTAATCTTCCTGTCTTTCTGTCTGACTGGGATCAAAAGCACACAGCCAAGCCAGGCATTGCTAGATTTCCCAAATTAAACCACTTAGATTCGTTCGCATCGGCGTGAACTGCATCGCCTCCGCTCCGAAGGCAAATAGCAATCATCATTAGAAGAACAGGAGTCACCTGGACACTTGTGCTGGTGTTGAGTTGATATATGGCCATTCGTGTTTGCCACCGAGTAACCAATATCAACGACTGCACACATCATACTCTCCACGCGACCCCCGACATAGGCTATAGGACCCCTATCTGATTTGGACGCTTCGAACATGGCAGTATGAGATCGATCAAAAGCAACTATCTCAGATTCGCATTTTTTTTCACTGAGATAATTAATATCAACTGCACTGTATTAAATCGCGAGCTGTACGTACCTGTAGAGTGTGCACATATTTTTCTTGCCTGATTCCGCCTCGCAGGGGATGTATACAGATCCAACATTGCGATTACTAGCAGGAATTAGTCCAGTTTGATAAGAAAATAACCAGGTAGGCTTACTACTGTCTGTCAAGCTCTTGACAAGAGCCATCAAGCGGTAGTTCCACATTGTGAGCATGGAAGACTTGGTTTGTGTAGATACGTGGCTTTGTGGACATATCAGTCTGTCCAAAAGCCACCAAAGGGTGAAACACCAGAGCAAATGTTAAGATACTGAAGCCTAGCATAGTGGAAGATCCAAGTTGTAAATTTAGAGAAGATGGCTCGAGTTGCTCATGAGGCGTACTGGGCGAGTGGACACGCAACTTTATATACCAGGCTTCAAGTCCGGGGTATAGTCCGGGCTGACGGAGGTCTTGCGCAAGGATAAGCCGGTCTATAATCTTCCTAAATACTAGAATCCGAACAATCCACCGGAGAATAACATGCAAAAGGCTAGGCATCCCCCACATGAACTGGCTAACGTATCATTTTGATACTGAATCGCCAGGATTATCCCGATTCAACAATTTCACATCATGTCTGTATTAACTGGGGTGAGCCGCAGCTTTATGCTTGAAACAACCCGCTAGTTCTGTTGAATATTCTGTAATTATTGACGCCCTCATTGTCCTTATTGCTATCATATGAAGCATAAAGTATGAATCCTGAAGTATAAGAGCCTAGGTCATAGATTAATCGATCATTAAGGAGAAACAATCAGCAAGGAGAACCGGAGAGAGAAGGTCGTGGAGTACAGAACGTCTACAGATCCGAAGGATCCGAAGCAGAATATTCCTAATCCCTAGCAAAACAGCTCACATGATTCGACTGTCCTTTACTTAACATGACCTGACATGAAGGAGTTGACCCGTTTAGCTTGATTCAATCAATAGTACAATTCTTTTGGCAAGTAATTGAGGCCCAACAGCTATCAGCGTATATAGTTTAGCGCAATTTCATGCTATAAAATTGGAGGATCTGAGTAAAGGTTTATAAAATTTATATAATACTATTATCAAAACACTTTCTACCTTTGCACACCAATCCACTGTATACTATAGCCGGCATTCACGGAATGCATCTATATCAAGTTATCATTTTAGCAAAGCCCACACACCTCCATCAATGGGATCAAGAAGTTTCCGACGTAGGAATTGGCTCAATATCAAATCGTAGGTGTATATTGTGCTCACGGCCGAGAGTGAAAACTCTAGCGATGCGATGCGTACCTCTATCCCAAGCCCCTATCACAAGACGGGCCGCTGCCCTCCCCAGCTTTGTACCTAGAATCTCTTTATACTCATCTGTCCCATACTCCCATACTTGTTTCGCAATTTCACTAAACTTAGGCCAGTCCACATCATGTCTCGGGTAGAGAATTTCTTGCACGTAGGGTAAGGTCTCATTGTTCTGGACATTAGTAAAATAAAGATATTTGAGAGTATCGATGGGATGATCAAACTTGTATTGAGCGATAGCGATACTTGACCAATGAGGCCCAGTGTATCTAAAAATGCACTCACTGATAATAACGCCTTTTGCAAAGCTCTGACGATACTGGGATTCCATTTTGTAGCCATTCTCGTCAAAGCCATGGACTGCAAGTCTTGTGTAGCGGAACCTGTAGGTATTTGTTGAGAAACCTAATTCATCCAAGTCGTCGCGGATAGAGGCAGGTGGGTTGTCGAAATGGTTCTCTGGACAGAGAAATTTCTCTCTCTTATTGTTGTTGTTGAATAAGTCAGACAATGATCTTCTTGATAGGCCACATCTGCATCCGCCTAGAGTTGGGTCGGCAATCCATTCTTGGTATTCGGTACCTTTTCGGTGAAACTCGCAGACTTGTTCGTCTGTCAGAGCCTCTCTATCATCAGTTACAGTGCTAGCGGGCGTACCGGGTGCCTTTCCACTACTTAGTGAACTGGTGTCATCTGGAACTGGATACGGGGTGGGGGATGTTGGGGATCCTGGGGAGTCTGGGGGTCTTGAGGATAGTATGAATAACATGGATTCATCAGATTCTCCAGATTCTGGGGAGCTAGAGGTTAGACATCGTCGAGTTGAAGGTGGAGGAGAAGCACTGTCATCATCGTCGTCGCGTTTACGTTTGTCTGACCCTGGTGCCGCTGGCTGTTGTTGAGATGGCAGGCGTAGCTTTGATGGTCGGTACGCCATTATATAATCTGAGTCTTATTTTGTCTGCTGTGTAGAAAAGTGAGATAATTTTGTATTTGGATGCGGTTGGTTGTACTATCTCGAATGAATATTTGTACTGAAGACAGGGGAACCTTTCTAATTATATAGTTCTGGTGAACTGTCCTTCATAATTGAGTGGATGAGGGCTATTGAAAGAAGAAGAAACAAGTCCTCGACATAAATAGAATACTCAAGGACCCGTGTAGGCCATGAAGATACCGAGGGGTTAAAGATTTGAGCACAAAGGTAGTAGAGACCGACAAAGAAGACAAAGGCAAATGGAAAAGGAGCTCGAGGCAAGACAAAGACAAAGAAAATTGCATTGTGGGAACAATAGTATTTTCTACAGTCTATATTAAGCTTAAAGCCAGGGACTATAATAATAGGTACCGTCTATCGTTAACATCCAAGGATTATTCCAAAATGCTAAGTTTAGAATAGGCGCCCTCTCGGGAGCCAGATATAAAGGAAACTATGCATTCCAGGTTCAAAAAGTCGAAGAATGTTGGGAAGCAAGTTTACTAGCGAACACCTCTTATCTCACCCAACCTTGGAAGTGTTTCTCCCAAAGGACGAAGGTCAGTGAGATGTGTTCTGTGGCAGCAAATTGGGTATTTGCTTCAGAAGACTATTTGCCGCCTAGAAAACCGGCAAAGAATAGGCTGTCTGCACCTAAACATTGAGCAAGTCTTCTTCAAGCTTCTTATCTACCCTGAGGCCAAAAGTTTCCTATTCGGGTAATCCTAAAGATTCATCCATGGAGATCTGGCTTGTCAGGGGTGATCAGCAACGGAAAGACATCAAAAATACTAACATGACTAACAATGTGAGGGGAGAGTATTCAAAGAGCTAACTCCAACAGAAACTAAACAATACCACATAGTTGGTCACATGTCGTTCTGGGCCAACTTGTCGAGACGTGCACTCATATCCGCATATTTGGCTTCAATATTGTGGCACAAATTGCCAGAAATGAGACGGTCGGGTTATCGATAAACCCATTCAACTGCCCCGAGGTTGCTATGTACAAAAACACTGCTGCCCCTGGGCCACCCCTCCACAACATTTGTGATTTCACTTCCATCCTCCCCTAAACCATCCTCCTCGTTGGCGACGTGAGATCTCTCCGCGATATCTCCATTCCACTCTTAGTAGGATGGAACATGCACCGCTTGCAGTCGTGTAAAGACATCCCGGCTACGTGCGCCTCCTCCACGCCCCGTGCCAGCCGCCTTCACGTCATTCAATCCCGCACCGAGCTCACGGCCCAGCCAGCAACTTCCCCATGTAAGCCCTGCATCAAGATGTTCTCCGACTCGGCGCATGCGGGACAGGTCATCGGTCAAGATCACAGCCCCCATTCCGTTGGAATTGTTATTGCACAGCCTGACCACTTCTGCTTCTGTATCGAATGAATAAACAGCGGCCACAGGCCCAAAGATCTCCTCCTGAACTAAGCGACTATTAGGGTGTATGTGGCTTAAGACTGTCGGACCGACCCAGAAACCATCATTCGGAGCTTCCTTGGGGATCTCACCAATCTCAAATATGACATATTCTTCACTGGCCTGAACAAGGCGGGATCGAATCTTGTCGTAATGCTCCTGAGAAACGACTGGACCAAGGTCTCTGGCTACCTGGTAATTCTCGACGACAAATCGGATTAGCTTGGCGAGAAAAATCTTGTAAATCGATCGGTACACGTAGATCCGAGAACCGCCCAGACAGAGCTGTCCACTGTTTTCGAACGCCGCGTAGGCTGCTGTAGAAACTGCGTCATCGAGGTCAACATCGCCAAAGACTAGGGTTGGACTACTGGCCCGGATGTCGAGAGACAAGCGCTTGTGAATGTCAACCGCAGTGTCCTTTCGAATCTGAATTCCTGTTTCGGTCCCTCCAGTAAACGAAACTCCCTGCACGAGGGGCAATCCTACCAGAGTCGAACCGGTGTCAGGTCCATTTCCGAAAACGATGTTCATCACACCAGGTGGCAGCTCGGCTTGGAGGAGCACTTCGGCAAGTACTATTTTTATGGTAAGCGCAGTTATTCAGAACACGAAAGGATCCAATCACTCACAAAAGGCAGTCATGCTAGAGTGTTCACTTGGCTTGGCCACACCCGTACATCCAAATGCAAGGCAGGGGGCAATATTTGAAGCTAAAAGGTAAAACGGCATGTTTGACGAAGTGATAATCGCGTAAACCCCGACTGGCAATCGGTGTTCGTATGTCAGGGTGGACTGTTCTGGTGCTCTGTTAAGATGCACCGCAGTATCCTCATCATGCAGTATGTATCTGGCAAAGTATCTAATAAATGTTAGATCAGCTCATGTGTAGAAGGTGAATGAACGAACCGGAAAATTTCAATGGCACAGTCAACTTCACGGCGAGCTCGATTGAGCAGTTTGCCTTGATCAATGCTTTCCCATACCGAAAACATCTCCTTCTTCTCTTCCAGGATGTTCGCAATCCGTAGCAGAAGATCAGATCGCTTGTAAGAAGACGTTTTGGACCAGGTCTTGAAAGCCCGAGATGCCACATTGACGGCGTATTCAACGACGTTCTGGGGACTAAGAGGCAGTTTCAGCAAGATATTGCCCGAGCGAGGGTCAAGCGAGTCGATCCATTCCGATGTGTGCGAACGATCAAGGAATTTATTCTCGATGAAATTCTGAAGACGAAGATGCTCGTTCTCAGAATTGGTGACATAGCCCGTGGCTCGGCCGATGGTGTCCAGCTTCCACAGCGTAGAAATGGTGTCCATGATCAATGTCGAAGCGTAATGAGAGGAGTGCAGCGTGCCAACGCAGGTTCACCCGCGCGTTCAAAGAAATGCCTTGTCTAGTAAAGTATGATTGAGATTAGAATAATGTTTGTTTAGACTCATTGATACAGGAACATACCTGGTGTGGATGTCAGTCTGACTAGCATCAGAGGCTTCAAGAGAGGTAATTCTCAGAAAGCTTCTTGTGAGATCTGTGAGAGATTGTTTCCTTAGGGAAGACGCGTGACAGACGCGAGGTGCGAGATACCTTGAGACCAACAAGTGCAACGAACTATAACCGCCTTGTTATATGGCAAATTTTTGGCGGTGAAATAATTTGATAATATACATATCATCATTCAGCGCTGTTCAGCTTGGATTTGTAGTTGATTCTGCATAAACAGGCCTTGGGATTTTGCATTTCCAACAATCAGGTCCTATACCTACATCCGGTGGTGGTTACTGTATTGGCATGGAATCAGATTAACTGTGAAAGTAACCGAGTAACTTGAGTTTAACAATTTATTGAGAGGAATGAAGAAGCCCTGAACTGAGAAAATAGCATATCGAGGAGTCTAGCCATGCATACTATTAGATACTTTACGTGGTTTCACAACCGCGACAGCGCTACTTGGTGGCTATGGTTCAAGTTTAATCGCCTTGGTCCGAAAGTTGACCTGAATAAGGTTGAGATATCTCACAAATCTAGATAATTTTACAACAGTTTTGTTCCCATTGCCGTTCTCCTAGCCACGCTTTTGCATTGGTAGATCTTCGAATGGCTTTTAGTCATTTCGCTTCATCCATCGGTTTTATTAGGTAGATGTTTATCCCCGAGGGCATAAAACAATAAATAATACACTCTTAGAAATGTCTATCGCCACTATCTATGGGCTATAGACAGAAATAAATTCACGACGTCGACATATACTAGCACGTGGTGCGGACCAACCTTCCCTTTTAGGAAGTACATGTTTCCCCAGGTTCCTATTAAATTCAAGACAAACACAAGTTCCTCGACCCTCCCCCCTCAGTGGCTGAGCGGGTTGCTCTGATAGCAATTGCCCCCTCCCCCCTGTTAGTTGGAGTCCAACTCGCGCAGCCCATGATCAAAATCTTTTTCCACTTATGCATTCTCAACCCCTCGGGGTTGGGCGTGGCCTAGGCATAGTTACTGGGCATGGGAGATATCACCACTTTTTTTTGAATCTTTAAATGTCTCTCTTATGACTTGATTTACTCATTGTTCCTTTCTGCCTAGATCTTGTTTTAAGAGGTGATCAAGGAATATTATATTTTAACCTTTATATGCGTACTAACACGTGATATGGACCCGACCTCAAATACCCGAGGCGACCAGCCGAGTGTCCACAACATCTCTCGATCCGATCCTCCCTGAGCCCAGATGCTCCTTGCTGTGGTGGAGTTTTACTTTCGTGATCTCACTGTACAATGATATCCGGCCAAAGGTCTGCCCCCTAGATCAAATCCTCACATTCTGATTTTTCTGGCAAGATAATCGGAAAGCCGTGTCCTAAAGCAGTGACTATAATGCTCTCAGGCAACTACTTAGAAAATGAGTTTCTCCATGCCCGACGGTTTAGTTGAACGACTTCCAGCTGTTCGAATTATTAGCTGTGAGATGAAGCTGAGAACTACAAGCTACCATTCATCCCGTCAAAGGGAGAGGTAGTAGGGGTCCACATAAAGAAACATTATCTGCTTTGTCCGTGACAAAGCCAAGGAAATCCACACATAATACTCATATGCTTTTTGTTTCTTTGACTGTCTGAGTCTTTGACAATCTATTCAATCTGGTGTGCTTCACAATGCCTTTGTTCAAGTTTATTTTGTTGCTTGTGGTTTTTATATGTGCTTATTTGCTTAAAACACCCTGTTGTCTATTCTAGTCGTCATATCATCTATATCCTGCAATGGCTTTTAAATATCCCCAATTTGAGCCATATGGGGATAAGCTAATCCAATGGATGGAAAATGTCAATGAGCCCGGATGCCCAATCCCCATGAGTACACTAAAATCGGAGACTCTACAACGGCCTCTCTGGACCAATGAGTATGAAAGAGAATGGTTATCACCAGCATATATCGCCTCTATTGTGGGACTTGGTCTTCCAGTTGGAGATCTAATTCCACATACTCCAGATCCCACAGAGTCCCCGTCTTTCCGGCACTCGATCATCAAGACCAAAGAAGGGATTACAGCAGTGGTCGCAACGATAGGACCAGGCGTTTTTTTTCTCTATTCTATGAGAAGACTTCATGGGTCGAGCGATCCGTACGTGTCGGAGCTTATAAAAATTGCGTATGAAACGCACTTTCGGTTGGATAGTCTGAAGCATGTCTTTATGGGTGAAGTACAGGAATGTGAAACTGAGCCCTTTATTGAGGAGCATATCTACCCTTCCCGTATAGGGCTTAGCTATCCTTCTGCAAAGACTCAAACCTGGAATCGCTCTTCACCCGAGTTTAGCGCTATTATGGGTACGCCTGTGGGTAAGGTTGTTGCATATTTTATTCTAGGTACTTATGGCCAGGGTGTCAAACGGATTGCACGAATTGCTACTTTCCATACTGCTCTTGACCTTCACAAACTACATATTCGCTTCGATATTGAGGATGTTTGAGGTCTTTGTTGATCACTTCCTTCTAGGGATTTGGCTGGATGTTGAAGATCAGACAAAATTTGCTAACTTTATTCGCTATCGATTGAGATGGACGGGAGAGACTAATTATATTCAATTCGATGTTAAAAGTGTATCAGAACCTTACATTTGACCAGAACCTTAAATTCTTAAGTAGCTTATTCCATGCTACCTTTTCAGAGCAAGATTAGATCAGTAAAAAGACCCTTTCCTACGGTCTGAACGGAAGCAGTATTGACATCATTGTACATGCTTATCAATCTACGGAATCACAAAGTGTAAAAGATGTAATAAGATTCAATGTCTTTGTCTTGGAACTAGTATCTGCACCTAACTACCACCAACACATGGCATTTCCAGTTGCCAGTGCGCTCGACATCTCCTCCATGTTGCCTGATGGCTCGGGAGCCCGAGATGTCACCTTTTTTACCTTCTTCCAATCCCATTTCTTGTTCTGGATGTACCCATGCCCTAGAAGTCTATCTTCCTGTCCACAAATCTTTGTAAACTCGTCAAACGTGACGGTGTTGTCAAGATTTGCGGGCATGACGGCTCTTTTCAGATCATAGGTCAGACGGTCATAGAGCTCGTTCTTCAGACACCCGAAGCGCGTTCTGTTTGCACCAGACTTGTACAAAAACATGCATAGGAAGGTATGGAAGTCGTCTGTGGGCTTCATTTTTGGTCTGTCTAGCCCATTGCAAGCTTCAGTTGCATCGTTCCGGTCGCCGAACCTCCATTCAAGGTCATCGAACATGTCCTGGGCTTTGGTATACGGATGCATGGCATCCTGTCGCAGACCAGCGTTCAAGTACACATGGGCTGCTCCAGTGGTTCGGGCTGCAATGTAGATCATTTTGTGCTTCTCAGTGGGGTAGTGGTCGGCGTTGAAAAAAGTTTGCCTTGCATGTCAAGGAGCCAGCTTTCAAAGGGAGAGTTCAGTCCATCGTCCAGTTTTTCGGGATCCGGGAGGGTGGACTTGCTGATTCGGGGCTCAATCTCCCCTTCAACACTCTCAGCAGCAAAGTGAAATCGATTGGATTGGTTTTGGTTAGGGGTTTCAATGGAAACAACCTTCGGACCCGTGCGAGTTTGTTGTTGGAGTGGGAGGCGGCGAAGTTCCTCGGCGTAATTGCTTGCCTCCCCAACCATACAATCATACCCCATCTTCAATTCCTCGTGTCGAGCTTTCATGTACCCGGCCGAGTGTTCGGCTTTGACACCCTCAGGGCCCTCAGCCACGGCACGAGCTCGGTGAGCTTCAAGTCCATCGTTGGCGTGCTTCACAGTCTGTTGCTGGAGTCTTTCATATTCCGCCTGGGCAGAAACAATTGTGTAGTAGACACGGCTCGGATCATGCTCAACTCACCGTATGAACTTCTCGTAGTCCGCAACACCCTGCTCCAGCTGTTGAATCCAGGACGGATAGACACAGAGAGGGGGGTTGTAGGAGTCTTCATCAACCCCAGGTTTGTCAGGATCAGATAGAGCGGGGTTAGTGTTGAATACCTGGTCCTCGGCGCCAACGTGCGACTCGCCTGTAATAGTTTTCTTTGCCATCTTCGCAGGGTTCTGATCGATCGTAGATCGAGTCTCGGGCCAGTCAGGAGCAGGTGGGGCCAAGGGCTTCGGTTCGGGCCGAGTCTTGGCGTGCATGGGTGGAGACAGGTCAGTGCAGTGTGCAGGAGATGAAGATGATGCAAGAGATGATAAAAGAAGAAAGAGGGAGAGAAATGAGGTCTGATGATCATGTGGATTTATATACCTGGTCTTGTTTGCTTTACTCGGTATAACATCAAGGCTCCGAGCATTCAAAATTGATTGAGATTGGGGTGTTTACAGCTATGTACCATCTGATTGAAGCGGCCCCCGATTTACAAGTCATGTTATTTTGAACATCCTGTTTCATGCACTCTTTACTGTTTACTGTTCTGGCCTTCACACTCTTGTTCTGTATTGAAAGGTTACGAATATTGGCAGTCACTTCTACATACAGAGCCAGTAAACGACAGAGACGGGGACAGGATAAGGGATTATGAAGCGTACAATGAAGACAGTCGTTGGATCTGGGACATATAGCACCCTGTCTCTTATTTCTCGGAACGCAGTCTCCGGGCGTCCGTGAGATACCCTGCATTATGTATCATCGAGCACTTACACGCGGCAGGAGACAGTGAAGAGGTCTTGGAGACATGACGTCTAAAAAAAGCCATGCTGACATACCTACCCCATGCTGACATACCTACCAATGATATTTTGGTACTAGACTACGACAGGTATCTGGGTCTATCGCGCTAACCTATTTACAAGGCCTTATACGTAAGCATGAGATTATTTCTCCATTTTAAAGCGATAGTTTTCTGAACTCGATATATGCCCTACTCTAAACACCTATGATATCTAAATCGCTCGTGCATCCGTAGAGAAAAGTCTAGCATTACTATGAAAACCACTGTATTATCATCTTTCTATCGGACTTTTTTTAACACTAGGGCATGATACTAACGAGCATTATGATTCATGTTACTTGTGGTTGATCTTTTGTTACTAGACTTTGATTCATTGTGTGATCTTTCGACTTAAAAAAAAAGGGTACATATGCATGACGTGCGATAATTTATGCTAAGACCAGTTTTCACACTCATTATTTAATTGGAAGCACCGTTCTCCCGTTCCTTCAACGTTTCACGGAATTTGGGAAGCACGAACCGTCCATAATCGATGGCGTCGTTAAGATTATCATATCCTCGAATAGAGATAAGATCTGCCCCAAGATCAACATAGTCAAGAAGAGACTCGATGACAGTCTGAGGCGATCCAACCAATGCAGTGGATGCACCACGTGCATTCGTCGCGGTAACAGTAGGATACCATAGAGCCCGGTCCTGGACCTCGCCACGAGCAGCAATATCAAGAAGTCGCTGAGATCCTGCATTCTGCGGGGGTGGCGCATTTGGAGGAGTCTTTCCTTGACCCTTTGCCGTATTGACATTCAGAGCATCGAGGGTCTTGTGTGCCTTGGCCCAAGCGAGGTCCTCAGTCTCTGCAATAATAGGACGGAAAGTCACCCAGATGCGAGGTCTGTCCGAGTCCGGGCGGCCGGCCTTTGCTGCCTCGGCATAGATGCGATCAATCTGGTCCTTTGTTTCTTTCAAAGGTTCACCCCAAAGTCCAAAGATATCAGCCAGGGAGCCTCCAATGCGGTATGCTTCGTCTGAGGAGCCGCCGACGGAGACGGGAATTGGGCCGTTGGTAGGGCGAACGCGGTTGCTGAATTGCTTGAACTGGTAGTATTCGCTGTCCCAGTCGAATGGCTCGTCGGATTTCCATGCACGGCGGAGAATCTTAATGTAGTCTTCGAGACGTCCGTAGCGTTCATCCTTGCTTAGGAAATCGCCTTCCTTGGCTTGTTCTGCGTCACTGCCGCCTGCGATGAAGTGGACAACGACGCGACCGGAGCTGAGTTGATCGAGTGTCGCTAGTGCCTTTGCTGCGACTGTGGGGTAAAGCGTGTTGGGTCGCAGAGCAATGATGACCTTGAGCTTCTTGGTCACAGACAAAATGGTTGCTCCAATGGTGAATGGATCATATGACGAAGAGTCGTAGGGAACCAGTGTGTAATTGTAACCGTAATCATCAAGATTGCGAGCGTAGCGAGTGAGGTACTCTGGATCAATCGAGGCGTTGGGGATCGGAGCGATCTCCGTAGATGCGTTCGGGAACGTGACGCTGATGAATTCCGGCATAGTGACTTTTTCAAGCTTTGACTTTCTTGATTTTCTTATCAAATACTGTTTCTTTTCTCAACTTGTGGCATATCAATCTTCTTTAATACTTCAGCATCGCCGTATCTCCGAGACGATTTGGCATCTCAAAGCATGACGCAAGATGGTAAGCGATTGCGTCTTAGCACGCAAGTCGATAACTATATTTTTTCCCGTCAGATCAGATGTTTTACTTAGATTTCCCTACTAATTCAAGTAAGCGCTATTCCTTCTGTCGCATCAGTAAGCAAAGTTATGATAAATAGAAGGTATTGCGCCAGTATTGCGCAAGATGATCCATGAGAATCGCAATACGATGTTGACTAGGACCCGCCAGGTAAGCCTATAGAAAGCTGGCCGAGATCGCAATTCAGTTACGGGGTTAACTTGTAAAGATCTTAAGCCCCTAGATAACGGGTTTGCCGGGATTCCGTTCATCACACGATCATTGGGACAATCTTCGTGATATAGTCCTGCCGATATGGACGGACACCGAGGTAGTATTGCTTCTTCTTTTACCACAGCTGCCAGCCATTTCAAGTCTCTATCCAGGACTTTCCGCAAACTCCAGGGTTTACAAAAAATTTGGCGGGTATATAAAGTCTCTTCGGCAGCAAGTAAGATATATATCCCGAGATGGCAGGGTTGTTCCAAATGCAAGTGGAGCGTGTCCTTTGGGAGTTCTCCTAGCTATCAACGAGTTCTACCACAAAGCAGTGCGCTATGGTTTGTTATCTATGAGTCTCAGCCGAGTGCAAATAATCGACAGTCGAAGTTAAAGTTGGGGTTCATCTGCCCTCCAGGATTGGCGAAAGACCCGGCAAATCGATTAGACCTTTGAGACCTCCCCAGTGTCACTCCGCCGTTATTCGGATTGAAGTTTTACTTTTAATATCCACAGGTACAGCCACTGCCTTTCGAACACCGGCATCGGCATATTTTATACACCTTGTCGGACTGCCTCATGAGGCCTCGGGGCCTCGCATGGACAGATCATGACTCAGCATTGTATATTTACAACCTTGGAAACCGGTCTCATATGCCACCCTCAACGCGAATCCCTATAGGCTCTATCGATCAGGGACGTATTGTTTTGGATCTTGAAATGCCTCCAATTTGACATCATTGCTATGCTGAGGCCAATAAGAAAAGTGGTTAACTTGTTGAGAGGCGCATGATAAGACGCTAGTCCCAATCGGGATCCTACGTCATCGATGAGAGATGGCTTATATCCTCGACATCCTTCACTTTTCTATCTTCCTTTTACACATATTTCCATTTGAAGAAAGTTACTACTTTAAGCCAGTCATTATGCCACTCGTTGTTCCAGGAATCAACTCCTCAATGGGCGATAAGCCCGAGTGGCTCAACAAACTCATGGGAAAGACGATTAGCGACACCAGTAATGAGACAGTACGTCACCTTTTTACACATCGTCGAAATCAAACATGATATTCTGACTGTTAGCTAGTCCTTTGCGAAGAAAGATCTTCCGGAATCTCATCGGATATTGAAGCCGGGTGACATGAAGACCCAAGATCATAATCCGAACAGGTAATGCCTTGCAAAGTGCCATGAAGTCAATATGTTACTGACAGTGTATGATTGAATTAAGACTCAATGTCCATGTTAACGATGATGGGACTGTCCATGATGTGAACTACGGTTAGAGCTAAGATAGAATTACTGGACCTTGACCCGAATCATAACAGAACCAATTTAATATCTATTGCATAAAGTCTATTGCTGTCCTCATAATACCATCTTGGTAAACTCACTCAGCCTTCCATCTCAGTAGAGTAAGCGAGTGTCGCGGGAACTTATACAACCCACTTCCATCCCAGGTGGACTCCTGGATCGCCACTTCTTCCTTGCCCTTCATATTCGTCACGAACAAATCGCTCGCCGTGACCGTGAACACAGAAACCTCTCCCTGAGGCCCCTCGACCCGACTTTCCAAGTCTTCAGTGTCATGAATATTCACAACAGCAACATTGACAAACCCATCATCGCCGAGAGTAGCACTGACATCAAACCAGGGCGTATCCTTGACACTTCGAACCCACTTGGGAGATGTCTCACCCTCGTACGTTCCACAGGAGACATGGCTTCCAACGGTCCAACCGCGCATGTATCGCGAGAACAGCCAAAGCGGCCACCAGGTCGTCTGCTTGGTAATTCCCTCCGGAGTGGTCATCAAGGGCGAGATAACGTTGACAGTCTGCGCGATACACGCCATGCTGACATCCTTGCTCTTTCGGACAAAGACGTTCAACCAGACGGCTACGGCGAGCGCGTCGGAGAGCGTGTAGCTTTCTTCGGCGCCTTGGCTTCCCTCTGCGCGGATCGGATCCCAGACGTTCCACTCGTCGAAGCAGATTGTCGGGCGAAGTTGTTCGGGGGGAACTTGGTTTTCAACTCTGGCGAGATCGATCAAGGAGGAGGTGATTTCAATTGCGCGCTCGGCTGCTAGTGGTGCGGTCACGTTGGGAAGGTGGGATGATGAGGATGTGTAAAGATGGATGCTGTGCATGTCAATCAAAGGAACTGAACTGGTGGATAGTGCGGAGTGGGCGGGCACGAGACACTGGTTTAGGGTGTAGTAATCCCATGATGCAGTGCCATCTTGACCGCAGAGGATCAAGATGAGGGTGGGATCCAGGAGTTTAAGAGCTGAGGAAGTCATATTAGCGCGACTTCTTTGCTGCAATGAAACGGAGTATTACCTTTGGCCCATTGAATTGCCTTGTGAGAATATGCTTCTTTGGTCATCTGCTCCACCTGCCAGGGACCCCAACACTCGTTTCCGAGAGCCCAGTACTTGACCTACTCCGGTTGTTAGATTGTAGCTCAACAAGTTGCACTCATTTGAACATACATTGTAAGGCTCCTCACGGCCATTCTTTCTTCGCAGGTTGGCATAGTAAGTATTGCCAGTTCCATTGCAGTATTCAACCCAGCCGAGGGCTAAATCCAAAATCAGTATACCATCATGTCACAGTGGAGTTAAATAAGAATATACCTTCATCCAGAGTACCGGTACCAAAGTTAAAGCAAAGGTACGGCTCCGTGCCTAGAGCCTCACACCATTGCATGAACTCATCAGTGCCAAATTGGTTTGTCTCGGTTCCGAGCCAAGCAAGTTCGGGTCTGGCAGATCAACATCAGCAAAGTTCTAGCAAAAATAGAACATGAGACATAATCATACCGTGCTGGCCGCTGATCCTTAGGACCAACACCATCAAGCCAGTGATAGGTCGCGCAAAAGTTTCCGCCGGGATACCGAACGACAGGGATGTTGAGCCCCTTCAACGCCTCCAAAACGTCCTTGCGGAATCCCTTCTCGTCTGACAGCGGGTTTCCGGGATCATATATGCCACCATAGATACACCGTCCCATATGCCTGCGGAACTAGTTAGCCCATGTCACCAAACTGGAAGGTCCGAGATGTCTTACTCGGTAAAGCCGGCATAAATGTTCGGGTTGATCTTGGAAATGCGCCTGGATGGGTGCACGGAGATGAGAGGCGTCTCATGATCCTCCAACTTGGTAAAGGTCGTCATTTTTTTGTACGTTTGGAAGTTTGTTTCTACTGTTTATGTTGGCGGCGTCTGGCTAAATAGGCGATTTAAACTGGGATCTGGTTCACAAGGGAAATGTGTCCTTAAATCCTGAGGTGATTCAATGACAATTCAAGCGAGAATGTCTCTGATCACAAGCGATTTATGTAAATAACCGATCGTTTGGTCCCTTGAAGCGGCAAAACTCCTGCGGGGAGAGGGCCGGGGAGAATCGAGAGAACTTGGCTTTCTGTATTTAGCGCTAGTCACTGTGACCGGAAAAACGAGGCGAAGCCCTTGGTTACCTTTCCAAGTCAATTAGTGGACAAATAAAACCAATCAGGTGACAGTTTCCCTTCACGATACCGGTATGGAAGAAGGTTTGGAGATCTTCCGTCAATCACAGACGAGATCCTCCGCCACATCTCTTTGCCAATTCCTCGCGTATTAGCTGGGAAAATCAACCCGGACAATTTCTATAGAAACAATATATCAAGCGATTGGTGAACTCTCCGCATTTCCCCTTAACCTTGGAAGAGGCTAGTGCAGTTTAAGCCTTGACTTCCATATGCGATTCTCCGAAGTAGTTCTGTCTCCATATGTCCCCTCGGTATATGTAGAGAAGCTCCCCCGGAGAATGAAGGACATGTGGAGATAGATCTTCAACCCCATATTCCTCTATATATCCACTTCTCAAAACCATGCGTCTCTCGCCGTCATGGTACCAGGTATGAAGGGACACATCCCATTAAGAAGCCCGAGCTAATGATTTGATATAGTTCCTGGTCGGCGTTTTTGCGTCTCTTGGATCATTCCTGTACGGATGTATGTTCTTCCAACCTCCCTTCTTGATAGAACGGAATCTGATATAATCGCAGATGATCTGGGTGTTATCGCTGCCGTGCTTGTCTGTGAATCATTTGAAAGCAAATTCGAGGCAAATGATACCCAAACGTGAGTCTCGCGTATATGAAATTATCGAAAATATCTAACGACTTTTCAGAGGATTGATCGTGTCTCTATTCACCGCTGGCGCATGTATCGGTGCCGGACTTGCGGGTCCCAGTGGTGATTACCTAGGAAGACGACGAACCATTTCATTGGGATGTTTCATCTTCACCCTGGGAGGTGGCCTTCAAACCGGTGCGGTAACAATTGACTATCTATACAGTGGACGATTCCTGGCCGGATTAGGGTATGTGATCTTTCCGAACACGCCACTCAAATAAACACTAACATTATTAGCGTCGGTTTCCTCACAATGATGATTCCTCTCTACCAAGCAGAGATCTGTCACCCCAGCATCCGTGGTCGGGTTACTTCCTTGCAGCAATTCATGCTCGGTATTGGAGCGCTTTGTGCTGGATGGATTGGATATGGAACGTACACCGGCTTTGCAGCATCTGACTCTGCACAATGGCGACTACCTCTCGGTTTGCAGATTGCTCCTGCGGTGTTCTTGGGTGTTTTGATCTCTTTCTTCCCCGAGGTATGTCTGGCTTCGATCATATAAACTTCAATGATTTAACGGTTCTCTAGTCGCCTCGCTGGCTCATCGATCACAATCGCGCCGAAGAGGGATTGCGCACATTGGCCAAGCTCCATGCTCATGGAAACGAAAACGATGCTTGGGTCCAGGCAGAGTTTGCTCAGATTCAGGAGAGCATCACGTTTGAGCATGAGAACGAGGCAAAGTCTTATCTCGAGTTGTTCACCAATCGCTCCTCGTTCCGTCGACTGTTCCTCTGCTGTGCATTGCAAGCTTCGGGACAGATGACCGGTGTATCCGCCATTCAGTAAGTGTACAATGATTTACAACCACTGTTGGTCAAAATACAAGCACTCAACTAACATATTTCGTTAACAGATACTACTCACCCCAGATCTACGGTCAAATCGGTATTTCCGACGAAGACACATTGAAGTACCAGGCAATCAACTCCATCATCGCATTGTTCGGACAGTTCCTGTGCATGATGTACATTGATCGCTTCGGCCGACGCTGGACTCTAATCGGCGGAAACCTGGGCAACTGTCTGACCTTCATCATTGCAACTGTGCTACTCGCACAGTTTCCTCCATCAACCAACAACACCGGCGCTCATTGGGGCTTTATCATCATGACTTGGTTGTACAATTTCTCCTTCTCCGCAACCTGTGGTCCTCTGTCCTGGATTATCCCCGCCGAAGTGTTCGACACTCGCACACGTGCCAAGGGTGTCTCGATTGCCACTATGACTTCGTTCGCTTTCAACACGATGATCGGTCAGGTCACGCCCATTGCAATGACGAAGATTGGGTATCGTTTCTATATCCTCTTTGTCGTTTGCAACTTCACCAATGCCCTTTTCTTCTGGCTTTTGCTTCCTGAGACAAAGCGCGTGCCGCTCGAGGAAATGAACCAGATGTTCGTCAATGCCCCTTGGATCGTGCCTGGAACTCGCAAAGAAGAGTATATGACTCATGATCTGGAGCGGAAGGTTGAGGAGCAGGAAGTGAAGCAAAATGCGATGCATGTTGAGTAGAACAGGGTCATAGGATGACTTTGCAGGGGACGTTCGCGTTGCATGTGTGGATAGTTCAGTTGATTTGGTGTTGAGATACAATTGTGAAGTGGTTACATGTACTCATGGAGTGAAATGTAAAATAGAAGAGTGGACACCCGGCTCGATTATTATCGAAGCAATTGCAGCATACGACAGTTTTGGGGACCACTAGTTTTGAATCTGGTTGTCTGAATATATCAGTTTTACAGTTTCAGCTCATTCTTTGTTTATGGTGTTTTCGCTCTACAGGCAGATGGAAGGGGATATGGAATCAGCATCAAGACACTAAAACCTGAGTATGTTCATGTTAGAGATAATCTATAGATACCGGTGAGATCCCAGTATACTCGTAGAGATATTTGCTTCTTCAATCATTAATTTGATCTAATCATACACCCCTAACATAGATATCTGTGCTAACTGACCCCCGAGGTCATGGATGTTGGCGATCATTCCGAGTCCGAACTATATCCTCCCAATCCAAGCGAAACCGCGGGTGGTTTCGTCGGGCTTTTTGTCTTTAGTTGCCCCTTCTCTGTATCTGTTACCACCTTGGGCTGTGTGACAGGATTTGCGGTTTCGGACGCTGTGACAGATGCAGCAGGCGTAGCTTCATTGGACTTAGAAGTCCCTTGGTCCAGCTTCTTGGTACTTGAACTGGCAGCGCCAGCCTGTTGCTGCGAGTCGTTCCCACTGTGTGTTTCCTTCCCATCAGCGTTCTCGGTAGCTGAACCTTTGCGCTTCTTCCCTGGAATCAATAAGTCCCTCTGTTTATCACGCCGTCTCTTACGAGCCAGCGCGGCCCAATCCTCTCCTTGCACGGGTGTCACATCCGGCGAGGTTGATCCGAGTAGTGCTTTCTGCGCCTCCTCGCGTTGTCGACGGAAGGCTTCAAGCTGATCTGCCGTCTCCTTCTTCACAGCGGCCTCCTGGGCGCGCGTTGACTCGAGAACAGAATCTAGGAAGTCGACTTCGTCTTCATCGAGGGAACGGAATTGATTTCTGAGACGGGATTTCTCTTCAAAAGCTTCTTGTTTGGCCACTGTATAATAACCGAGGAAAATCACCCTAACATGTTAGCCAGATTCCGTGAATGAATTGTCCGCTCATATTTCTCCGGGGCCAATGCAGACGGGGGCCATGCAACCGAGTTGGGCTCACTTTTATTCCGCTCCAATACCTCAAAGAGACTTTTGCCGCCATCCTGCTTTCCTAGCTCGGCCTTCCGCCTCCGCTCTTCCTCCAGCTCTTGTTCTGCTCGGAGCCACTCATCGTCACGCTCGATGGGCTGCTCGTTTGTGCCGGATGAAACGAAACCTGATGACATAGTGATGGGGCTGGGTAAAGTGGTACGGGGAGCACTCGGGTATAATGGTCGGTCGGAATGTGAAATTATCCGGCAGGGGGGCCGGGATGGAATGTGGGGGGCGTGGAATAGACCGAAACGCGGGCGAATGTGTTGAGACCGAGAAGTTTCCGAGTTTCACAGAGAATTCGGAGGGATTGTCGATCACAATTGACAGATATGATTGGAAGGGTCAATAAGAGTGGAAACGTTGCATTTAGCCAGAATGGTCCCTTGGGGTTGAGTTGGTTATACCCTCAGAATCTTCCCCAGGGCTCCAGTATGACGATTTTAAGTGATATATCAAGTGGATATTGGCCAGTCGGGTAATTCTTAATCAACTTCCACGGGCTCTATTTGCCATTTAATAGAGAGGATAATGTCCAATATGACCAATTGCCCCCCCACATCCTCCCCTCCAACGACATCATCGCTCTTGGACCTGCCCACTTTACATCAGGACATTATATAAAGACCACCTCGCCTCTTAAAACATCTTCTTTTTATTCATTCCAAAATATATCAAAATGTCGAACCAACACACTCAGTAAGTCCTTGACTCGCGATACACTTAGATCATCGCACTAACCAATCTCTCTCTACAGGAAGACCTACACCCTTAACACCGGCGCCAAGATCCCCGCCATCGGTCTGGGAACATGGCAGTCCAAGCCCAATGAGGTCCGCGTGGCCGTGAAGGACGCCCTTCTCGCCGGTTACCGCCACATTGACACTGCTCTGGCTTACGGAAACGAGGCCGAGGTCGGTGCTGGTATTAAGGACTCCGGCGTGCCCCGCGATCAGATCTGGCTCACCACCAAGCTGGACAACCCCTGGCACAAGCGCGTCGCTGAGGGAATTGATTCCTCTCTCAAGGACCTCGGTACTGATTACGTCGACCTTTACTTGGTTCACTGGCCCAGCTCCACCGACCCTGAGGACCTGTCCAAGCACCTCCCCGACTGGGACTTCATTAAGACCTGGTAAGTGAATCAATGACCCAAAAATTCATCCATCCAGTGGGGAACCAGTGCTAACTCATGTTCATTACAGGCAAGAAGTCCAGAAGCTGCCTGCCACTGGCAAGGTCCGCAACATCGGTGTCTCCAACTTCGGCATCAAGAACCTTGAGAAGCTCCTGAACGACCCCAGCTGCAAGATCGTCCCCGCCGTCAACCAGATCGAGCTGCACCCCAACAACCCCTCCCCCAAGCTGGTTGCCTACAACACCTCCAAGGGCATCCACTCCACCGGTTACTCCTGCCTCGGCTCAACCGACTCTCCCTTGTACAAGGACCCTACTCTTCTCAAGCTCGCTGAGAAGAAGGGCAAGACTCCCCAGCAGGTTCTCCTCGTTTGGGGTATCAGCAAGGGCTGGAGTGTCATTCCCAAGTCCGTCAACAAGTCTCGCATTGAGGGCAACTTTGATATCAACGGCTGGGAGTTGACTGCTGATGAGATTAACGAGCTCGACAACCTTAAGGACCGCTTCAAGGTCTGTGGTGACGCATGGCTCCCCATCAAGGTCTTCTTTGGCGATGACGAGTAAATATGTCGAAAATTATGAATGTTTTATGAGTACATAGGCTTTAGATACCAAAAGAATGATTTTGTTGTGACAATAACTTTTATATTAAGTACATAAGCTGTAACTAATTATCAAGATAGTTGCTGTACCCAAAATATCTATTTTGGTTGGCAAGAGAAAACGCATGAATCCATTCCAATGTCGTCATAGTGTCAAACATAGCAAAAACATACAAACAAAGCAAACACAAGTATTCTTGGTCACGGGGGTGGCGTCACATAGTGCGGAGCCTCGTGTCTCAGGCGGAGAGATAAGGATCCACACCCCGTCATCAGGCATCCTTCCTCTCTTCAACTGTTCCATCATCTTCATTGAATTATTCGACTCTGAAACATCATCATGGCGCCTTCAGCAGGGCACCTGCTGCTTCCTAAAATATGGAGAGTAGCAAGGTACGTCTCCCCTTGCCTGTCGAATCACAATGGAGCCATTGACTAACATCCTCCTAGGTTTGCCTACGCAAAAGCCTCCAAGGCTATACGTTCCAAACTACCAGAGCCTACACAATATCATCCCGTGCGATATCAACCCGCCTATGCCCGAATCAATCCTAGTCAGCCAATCAGCCGTGCCGCTGCCATCCGTCAAGCCCGCAGTCGCCACTTCTCGACCCGTGCCGCTGGCGCTTTCGCCTCAGCGATTCGATCTGGACTAGGAGCCGATGCCGCTGCCCCTACCCGTAACACTTCTCGCGTTGCGGCGAATATTAGTCGACTCAGTAGCCGTGCACCTTTTGCTTCTACTCTTCGTCCCAACCTGACCGGTGGCACCCTTGGTCGGACTGCAGGAGGATACGCTGCTGGTGCTGGCCGTTTTGGCGGAGCTAGATACTTTTCCCATGGGCCTGCCGCACCAGCACAAGTTATTCAGAATGTATCGCAGGGCGTTCGTGCTTTCTTTCTGTCTGGGCAAAAAGTTCGCTTCGATGGCATCGATCCCCACACTGGAGAGAAGCGGTATAAGTCAGTCAGCACACTACAAGACCAGGCGGAGCGAAAGATTAATGCCAACCTGCACACCGCACCTGGCTCGTTCATTGACTTCCAGGTTTCCCCAACCATCACTGCCCTCAGTGCTGTTGGTGGTGTCGGTAAGCAGGACCGCTCTGCCTCGTGCGACTCTCTAAACTCCGAGGGTCTCATGGATCTGCTTTCTGCCGATTTTGCCCGTGCTCTGAAAGATTTCTCTGCAGTGATGAACGATCTCAAGCGTCTCTCATCACTTGGCGATCTTCCGATCTCCCTTCACGACCGATCGACGATCCGGGTGCGTTTCCCGGGCTGTGATGCAGAAACTGTAGAGCAGCTGTGTTGTGAGGTTGGGATTCAGCGAGGCCGAGTCGCCCAGGATGAAGATTTTGATATTCGCACTGGCGCTGATTTGGCTCTTTTGTTTCCCTTTGCACCGAGCATTGCCACTTCCTCCGACGCGGACTTTTACTTTGACAAAGCCCCCAAGTTGCACTCGCAGCATCCAGCGTATCTTGACTGGCAAGGGATGATGACACCAGAAAGCTGCACGCCACCGTCGCCAGCTGGCAGTCGGGATTCGGGCAATGCCATCAGTTTCGATGATAGTGAGCTATTTGGTGCCAATCCCTGGAAATCTTCGACCAAGAGCTACTCCAGTATCAACATCAGTGAGCTTGGAGATCAGCCTTTCTTCCCCGAAGTCTCCAGCGCTGGCGAACCCGAGAGTAACTCTGCATACGAAGGTGTGGAGGGAATTTACAAGTTCTTGGCTGAATGTGATCAAGCCAAACGTTGACCGGACGCTTGTCTCCTGATCACTTTTATTCGTTCCTCTCTTTTTTCTTTTCCTTTCCCCCCCCCTTTTGCACATATCCCAGTCTGAAACTAGGACTACATGATGATGAAACAGATACCACTCCACTCTTTTAACACCCCTTTCGTGTTATACTTGCTCAATTTAATGAATTTATATTGAAAAATAGTTTTTAAGAAATCAATGTCACTGCATGGTAAAAACCTAGAAACAGCTATGTTATTTCAGCCTGGTCAACTTGATTCAGCCTCTTGGCTATATGGCAAAAGTGTCCTATTAGCCCTTTTTAATTTCCTATGAAATGTACTCGTTTCACCTAACTGGACTAATCCGGCTGAAGAACACGGGTGCGGGGTCCCCGAACAATGTGGCTGTCGAAAGGAAATGGCGTTTTCTTGCATGATCTTAGGCTTCAGGTCATTATCTTGTCTACTTCTCTTAAATTTGTCAAGTGTCTGGTAATGTCCATTTGAAACGGTTTCTCCAATTTGTTTCTTAACCGTGGTTTGTTTAGATATCCTTACCATTCTGACAAGGAACCTCCTCTACTATGGCAGTTAAGCAGCCAAGATGAAGAGCTTAACCTCGCAATGTGAACCGAGCCTAATATGGTCCTCCCGCGCCGAGTCTGGGGAAGATCGACCAGGACTGTCCTGTTTGGGGACGGAGGATCAATTCCGCGGGGGCTTCGAATTACACTATAACCCCTCCCCTTGACCATCTAGGAAATTTATATTGGTTTCAAGGCTGAAGATTAGTTTCTGTTGACCGGTGCATTGTTCCATCTACCCCAGACAAGACAATATTTACCCAGATTTAACCACGCATAGCGTAGAATACGCTATTCTCTGACGTCTCTGTTGTACATCTTTCTTGGCAATGTCTGGAAATGGTCACTTGAACGGAGATAATTCTCATCCTACTCGAATACTTCGACATGGTGTGACATCGCCTTCGGGTTCCCGGGTTCAATCTCCGCAAGGGAGACAAGACGTTCATCTCACTGGGGTATATAAAGAGATCCAATTCCTACATAATTGTTGAAGGCACAGAGCAAACAACCAGCAACATTCACATCCATTCCTTTCAAGACTGCCAATATGCGGTCCTTCATTCCATTGGTGCCTCTGCTGGCTTCTTCCGCAGCGGCGGCTGCTATCGACGTTGCGGCTCGCGCAACTGTCACCACAGCACCTTCGGCAAATGCGAATCCCTTCGAGGGATACCAGCTTTACGTGAACTCGTTCTATGCATCCGAGGTCTCTGCCTCAGCCTTGCCGTCCATGACCGGGGCTGCTAAGGCTGCCGCAAGTGCCGCCGCCGAAGTTCCCTCCTTCTACTGGCTGTGAGTTCATTAAATTGATGTCTTATAAACCCTGAGCAGACATTAATATTCTTTTCCAGAGATACTGCCGACAAGGTGCCAACGATGGGTGAGTTCTTGGCCGACATCAAGGCTAAGAACGCAGACGGTGCTAGCCCGCCGATTGCTGGCCAATTCGTTGTTTACGATCTGCCTGATCGTGACTGCGCCGCTTTGGCCAGTAATGGAGAGTACTCCATTGCTGATGGTGGTGTCGCCAAGTACAAGGCGTACATTGACTCCATCCGCGAGATCCTGGTCGAGTACTCTGATATTCAGACAATCCTTGTCATTGGTGAGTAGAACCTCATTGATTGTTCTAGCGTGAGTCATTGCTGACATTGTTTTCAGAGCCTGATTCATTGGCCAACTTGGTTACCAACATGGCTGTGTCCAAGTGCGCTGGCGCACATGACGCATACCTGGAGTGCACTGATTACGCCGTCACTCAGTTGAACTTGCCCAATGTTGCCATGTACCTCGATGCCGGTAGGAATCCATTGAATACAATTACCCCTCATAAATATGCTAACCATTGATATAGGACACGCTGGATGGTTGGGCTGGCCCGCTAACTTGGGCCCCGCAGCTGAGCTCTACGCTGGTGTCTACAACAATGCCGAGAAGCCCGCCTCTCTGCGCGGACTTGCCACCAACGTTGCCAACTACAACGGATGGTCTCTTGCTACCTGCCCTTCATACACTCAGGGAGATGACAACTGCGATGAGAAGAAATACATCAACGCCCTTGCTCCCCTCCTCAAGACTGCTGGCTGGGATGCCCACTTCATCACTGACACCGGTATGTAATCAAGAACCTTTTAGAGCAGCGACATATAAACTTCCCCTCCACGAGCCAAAGATCCCACGCTGACTTTTCTGTTCCAGGCCGCAATGGTGTCCAGCCCACTAAGCAAACCGCCTGGGGCGATTGGTGCAATGTCATGGGAACCGGTTTCGGTGTCCGCCCCACTACCGAGACAGGTGATGCCTTGGCTGATGCCTTTGTCTGGGTCAAGCCCGGTGGTGAGAGTGATGGTACTTCGGATACCAGCGCGACCCGCTACGATGCCCACTGTGGACTTGGCGATGCTCTTAAGCCTGCTCCTGAAGCTGGTACTTGGTTCCAGGTAAGAGGGCCCTGATTGATGTGATTGCTGGCACAATACTGACGATTTCGCAGGCATACTTCGCCCAGCTTGTGGAGAATGCTAACCCCTCCCTTTAAATTGGTCGAATCGGGTTGGATAGTTGGATAGCCCTGGTGGCCCCAGGACTGCTAGGTATACAGAACGGAGATGATGTTTGATGTCAAGGTTTCATTTTGATAGTGGAATAGCAAGAACCAATTTCATTTTTGAGTTATGAAACAACCATGCGATAGAAAGATTGTACATGAAAGATCTGTATGGTATCTCGATTCATGTCTAATTGACCCTTGCAGACTCTCGCATAGCGACACCCGTATGAAAGTGGTAAACAAATACTGTGGGAAATAGACACGATGGAGGCCGAGTGACAAGTTGCCCTGATATGGCGAGGACCACTCCGAGTCGAGCAGCCTCTTTTCTAAGTCCGGGGCTCTAGTTGGAGAAGAAATGACCATTCCCCCGAGAAAGCGATTCTGGAGACGATGGTCTCGCAGGAAATTTTGCCCTCGTCGTGGGGAGAGCCGTCCAAAACCAAAAAGACCTCCATCCCAGTTCCCGGCGAAGACGACAAGCACTGTGTTGAGCTAAGTATCCACGAGATGTATTGTATTGTCAGTCACCGTAGGGTCTCCGCTGCTACAGAGTATTCTAATCAGTTTCTTCTCATCATTTAGAAACGCATCCGCTAGTACGTCCACTTAGTCTATCACTTTGTCAACAATTCTGCGAGTATCGTCGTCTCAATTACCTCCACATTGGTGAGCCGGCCGTCTTTCACGCAGATATAACGAAGTGATAATATCACGAAGACCATTGCCTGGAGATCCCGAGATAGTGTCGTGTCCCATCCAGACATATCCATATTCACCATGACCCGGGAACCTACCGGCAAGTTCCCTGCAGTGGACTTTCGGAATGGGAGGATATGGATTAGACGCCTCCTTGGGGTTACAGCATGCTTTCCTTGGACCTCGTTGATAACACTGGTCGGAGTGAACATGGATACTGTGTGCGATTGTCAGATCCATTGTCTAGTCTTAGCTTGATGCACTCAGGCAGCAAGATAAAGGCTGCTGTTTGCCTGACTGCAGATTCGTCAAACTTCTCTCTTTGTCCCCGTGGAACATACAAGGAGCTCCATGGCAGTAGGTCGATTGCTCATCTATTCATCTCGGTTGATCCACTTCTGGCTCTCTCTTGTGGCGTAGATTTTGGGCCCATCATAGCTTTCGAAAACCTTCAATCCACTCATATTGATGTGTCTCGATGTATCCTGGATTGTTGTTGTTTCGGATATTGATTACTCCGTGGTACCCGAGTGATAAGGTTCGGGTCGTGGTTGTGAGGGCACAGACCACACTTGGCAGGTTTGCTGTTTATTTGGACTTCATATATGCTCCAGGACTACGATATCAACGGGGTTCGTCGGGGTAGTCCTTGGTATCAAGTCTGCAGAGACCGCCGAAGATGAAGAGGTCGCGGTGTTATGCGGTTCGAGGACCCCTCTACATGCTGATGTGGATCCGGTAGAGGAGATCACCCGATATCTAGAATAAGTTCTCCTATGCAAGCTTGTCATCTCAGGCATTTATCACCAAGGGCAACTGTCATATTGTCAAAATGAAGAGTTTCAAAATTACCTTCATCAACAGTTTGATCTCTATACCAACCATGTACTTCGACGACTCCTACATAAATATATAGTAGACCTCTCATGATAGTAACCCTCGAGTACACTGGAAGAAACGTCTGAAAGTAAATCCCGGATCCTCGCAGGAATAGGATGACATAGTTTTGTATCTTGGTCCTAGCTAGCGGTGTTGACAGTGACCGTTTGGTAATTACCTTCAAAAGAGAAAGCCCGATGTCCTGGATGATGATCATGAAGGCTTCTTTCTCACTTCCTGAGATGCTGAAGAATATACGCGGGGTAGCCTGCTCATTATTAACCTAATCCAGAGCTGGAGAAGCCGTAACGGGGAGAAGCATTATAACCACAATCATGTATAGAAGCTATCTTGAGCAAGTGGTACGTCAACTGGACCATGAGGCACGTGCACGCCGTAGATTTCTAGGCGGTCTGAATAGCAGTATTCTGACCGCCCGCTAGGCGAAGAGTATCGATAAGGATTGCGGGAGATTATCCCCACTACATATCCGTCCAGAACATCATAACCATCAACAATTCCCTGAGAAAACATATCGCGCTGATTGAGACCATCGTGGATACAAAGCAGCTATTGTATCACACAGTTCTGCAGGTTTGGGTACAGTACCCTGGGCTTAATCACCCCACCTGAGTTTCATACACTGTGAGAGAGAGACACGCCTACGCCTGTGACTTAACGAGATTATTACGATGGAGGACTTCAATAGTGAAACCGATAGTGATTATACCAGCTACTGGCGCGACTGGGTAAGTGAATTTCCTTTTTTTTATGAATTCTATTGGGATGAGCGAGACGTTACGCCCGTTACGGCGGGGCATCGTGGGTTGGGGGTCGAATGGGCCACCGAATGAAGCACAGGAAGCCGATGTCTAGCGCAACACGAATGAGACAATCCTCTGATCGCCGTTGCCTTGGTCCCCTTGTTGCCGCGGCGATTCAACCGCTTGGGGGACAACCATGCGATTGGGTTCACTGACAGCGTTACGCTGGTCCCTTGTCGCCGCGGCGATCAAGCTCAACGTTACGCTTGTCGTCCCCGACGATCTGGATACAGGTCACGCTTGGCTTGTTGTCCCCGGCGACCTGGATACACGTACAGTCGTGCGCTGCCTTCCACGACACAAATATAAAAACCCCCTGTTTCTTCTTCTCTCCGATCTATTCTCTTCTCTTCTTTCAACCGCTTCATCTGCTGCTCTTGTGTCTTTGCTTGTCTCCATTCTCTTTCTGACCATGGCCAATCTGTTGCGTAACTGGGCTCTCAATGGCATGATCGCCTGTGTGCATCTGAGCATCATGTTGTTGTTGCTAAGATCGACGATTGAGGCTCGTGATGGCAACATGCGTAATGCTGTGGTGGATACTTTCGTCGCGATTTGCTTTTACGAATTTTACCTCATGTTGCTCCGCATTCACTTTATGACCAATCTGAATCTCTCGCTTCTTGGCCTCAATCACCCTTATGATCCCCGAGACCCCCGAGACCCTCCTAGCTCGGGTTCTAACCCCAGTGGAATTGGAAACCATTCATCTAACACCTCGCGCCGTGGCCCTGGAAATGCAGGGTCTTCGACGTCTCGCTCTCCTGATTCCTATTCTTCCAACTCTACTCGATACCGTCGCGCAATCTTTATCATGGTCGTGCTAATCGCAATCATTTATTTCCAGTTTGTCTCATCCCGCGGCAACGAATATTTCTGCGAAATCGACGAGGACTACCTGACCGATCGATTCAACCTCACTGGGTTGAACACTGAAGTTTCCTACTACCAATACGCTCTTGATCTTGTGACCGACGTTTTCGACCTTGATGCCGACGACGATCTGCGTGAGCAAATCGAAAAGTCTGCCCGTCACCTCTATGGCTTGGTCCATGCCCGGTACATTGTTACCACTCGTGGTCTTGCCAAAATGGTATGTTCAACCCCTAAACTGGTGTGATTATGTTTCCCTATAACCAACGTACTAACCTCCCTGCAGCTCGAAAAGTACAAGAAGAGTGACTTCGGAAAGTGCCCACGTGTGATGTGCGATGGACACGCACTCCTTCCTCTCGGCGAGTCAGACCTTCCGAATATCAGCACCGTCAAGCTGTACTGCCCCAAGTGTGAGGACATTTACAACCCCAAGTCGTCACGCCACTCGTCCATCGACGGCGCATACTTCGGTACCTCGTTCCACTCCATCTTGTTCCAGGTTTACCCTGCTCTCAATCCCGAGAAGAGCAGCCGTCGTTATGAACCCCGGATCTACGGGTTCAAGGTGCACGCCGCAGCTGCCCTCGCCCGCTACCAGGACAACCAGCGCGAGGATCTCAAGTGGCGTCTCGCTGAAGTGGACATCAACCACCGGTTCATCGAGGACAGCGAGAGCGATGACGACGCCTTCGAGTACGAGGAGGAGTACGCTGAGGGCACCCCAGCCAAGGAGAAGGTCGGTGATGCCACTCGCGTGGCATAGGGAGGGAATTTGAATTTCAAAGTTGAATTCGAGTTTGTTTTTTTTTTCTTTACCAGAGGAATGGATAAGCGGGGCGTGGTGATCTTCCACCTCCGCTCAGAGGGGCCCCTCTGACTGTATTTGTAGTTCTTGAATCCATCCTCATTGAATTTCATCGCCCAGTGTAGATTCTCGTACTTAAATCACTTGACTAGTCCACCATGGGAAAGGAGACTCAATTGAAACCACATCACTTTTATTCTATCTTTGCAATGAAGGTGATTCTAAAGTGGGTATGACCGTATACTAAGAGATGATAAACTCACAACTGAACACGAACGCGTATATTTCATTCCTCATGACCTATTTGTAGTCGTCGATTGGATTGTTTGACGAGTATGTCTTTATCGACATCAACTATGGGGCCAGTCCCATATCTTGCAATTGCTCGAATGCAAACGTTACTGCGTGAGCCAGTTCCTCGCCACGCTCCCATGCCTCATCATGAGCACCGCTGATCGACAAGACGCGGACCCGTCTATCACCGTGTGACAGCTCTTGCTTGGGTATCTGTGCCTCGGTCTGCTCCCAATTTCTCAAAGCCTCCTTCATAACCTCCGCCTGAGACCCGTCCACCAACTCGTCGTCCTTGGAATGCGCAAGGACAGTCAACCTTCCAGACTTCCACCCGCCTTCCACTCCACGAGAGCCAGCCATCTGAGCTGGCGATACACCATCCCAGAGCACCTCATCCGCCCCAAACGCCCCCTCAATAAACTCCTGGTAAGCCGAGATATCGGCATGTGTGTCCCGCAGCCGTCGCAGATCGTAAATACCCGCTACACCGACAATGGCAGTGGGTTGCGCGGTCAATGCAGGTGGTAGGGGACCAGGAGAGGCAGAGACAAACCCGATACTCTTATCGGGATTATCAGTGGATCCAACGAATGCCTGTTCACGATGATGTGACACCGCGCCCATCACAGCTTGGAAGGCGAGCGTTGCGCCGCAGCTGTGCCCAACCAGGATGTAACGCGTACCGAACGCGTATGTATTCTGGAGGAAGGCGAGTGCTGCCTCTACATCGCGGATGTGATCAGGGTGTTTCGCATCTTGGAAGTCCTTGGGGGCAGTATTTGTTGGGTCTTGTGAGTAATTTGGGTGTGCACTGAGACGGTACGAGATCGACGCAAACCCGGCGATAGGCAGGCCTCTGTTGCGAAGTATGGATTCCGTGGCATTGAATGATGCCGATGTAACAGCTGGATCCCGCCAAGCACCACCGTGGATGAAGCTAGACAGACGTTAGTCATTGCTTTGGGATAGGATCGTGGGGACTTGTGTACATCACCCAGTAGCCATCTTCGCGTGGATCGAGGGTTGTGACGGCGATGCTTTGTAGGTTATGGACTCGGCCATAGGCCACAGTTCGTGTCATTGAGTGATCCGACATGGTGTCTTGCGGAGTTCCATCTTGATTTATGGGGAAGTGGGACATGGCGATAGATTACGGGCTGGTTGGAGTATCATGTAGAACCTGTTACCATTTGACTGTCTGACATATTCTAAGTACACAATCATTGCTTCTTCCATTGTCCTAATTTCGCCTGGTCATTTTGTTTGTTTTTCTTCCCCCGTGTCTGTATTTTTGTAGACCAAAATATAAACTAAGTCTCTGGTCGAATGAGAATTCCCCGATGAAGTCCATGAAACTGTAATATTACTGTATTGCCCCTCCATCTACATATTGAAAGATTGTAACATATTTCGGTGTGTATTTCTAACACGCTAAGCCCAATCAGGAATTAATGGTCCCTTTCACACAAACCCTCCAAGTCCACCCGTCTCGACCTTAACAACCGTCCAACTGTTGCAATCTTTGACAATGGCCGAGTAAGTGATGATCGTTTTTTGCATGATCATATGATGCTAACCAACTTGCAGAATTCCAGCTCCCCTCGCGGCCGTTCAGGTCGAGGCCTTGGTATGCTCTCCCCGACGAAAATCTCCCCTAGTCCTCGCCAGCCAGAAATACTGACGTCGGATCTTCCAGGTGGTGATGAAAATCATCAAGCACTGCTCGCAGACCTTCCCCTCCACTGCGACCGGCGCCATCGTCGGTATGGATGTCGATGGCACCCTCGAGATCACCAACACTTTCCCATTCCCCGTCGTCGAGGTCCCCGCTGAGTCGCACTTTGACAACGCCGCTCCCAACCCGGCCGCTGCCGCTCCTCGTGCCAAGGCAAACGCCGCCTACTCCGCAGAGATGATCCGCATGCTGCGCGAGGTTAACACTGATGCCAACAGCGTCGGATGGTACACCAGCGCCAACATGGGCAACTTTGTCAACATGAACGTGATCGAGAACCAATTCTACTACCAGAGCCAGTTGAACGAGCGCACAGTCGCCCTCGTTCACGATGTCAGCCGCAGTGCCCAGGGCAGCCTCAGCCTCCGGGCCTTCCGCCTGTCCTCCAAGTTCATGGCTGCGTTCAAGGAGAACAAGTTCACTTCCGAGGAGTACGTTCAACGATCTGGGAAATTTACAAATTTTTATGAGATACATAAATACTGACAAGAATTGCAGCCTCCAAAAGTCCAACCTGCGCCACCCCGACATCTTCGAGGAACTGCCCGTCAAGCTCCACAACTCCCACCTGATCACCTCTTTCATCCACCAGCTGCAGTGCCCGACTTCCACAGCCTCCACTGAGCTCCCCCCTCCCTGGCTGCCCTCGAGTCCAGCCCCTTCGCCAAAACCTCCACCCTCACCCCCAACCTCGACAACCTGTCCCTCAGCATCGATCCCTTCCTGGAGAAGAACTGCGATCTCCTTCTGGACAGCATCGAGACCCACAACACCGAGGTCAACAACTACCAATACTACCAGCGTGTTCTCGGCCGCGAGCAGCAGAAGATCAACGCCTGGAAGCAGAAGCGCGCACAAGAGAACGCCAGCCGTGCCACTCTCAACCAGCCCCTCCTCCCCGAGGACGAGTGGCAGCGTCTGTTCAAGCTCCCCGCCGAGCCCAGCCGTCTGGAGAGCATGCTCAACACCCGCCAGGTGGACCAGTACGCGCGCCAGGTCGACAGCTTCGTCTCGTCCAGCACGGGCAAGATGTTTGCCATCAAGGGCAACCTTCTGCCCAACGAGACCTCGAACTAAACGTTGATGATTGCGAAGGGGAGAGACGACGCTTCTGGGATTGCATGACCTTTTTACGGCGTAGGGAGGGAAAATGTTCTCTATTTTGGATGTTAATATGACTTCCTGTTTCTTTTTTCTTCTATGAGCGGAGCTGAGTCTCTGGGCATTAAACTCCTGCGTTGTATCGACTTATATTCGATCATAGAAGGAAATCTTTATTTTGTTTAGAATATAACAAACACTTTGAACAGGTCAAATTCTTACGTACTTTTTTTTACAATAGGCTAATCTACGGATGGCACAAAGTGATCTAAGACAAAAGCAATGTTAGATTGATCTATGAAATCAGACATCTATGAATGATGTGCATGCACCATCACTCATTACCCGAGCGCCACGAAGGTGGCCCACCGAAGGTAAGGGGATCCCGAATATCCCAGGGAACCGCCTGCTCAAGCTGCTCAGCAACCATCAATCCACTAACGGGGTCTGCATTGTCCTCAGAGAGAGTGGCAATCGCGGCAATGATGCAAGGCTGAATAGCAGAGCAGATCTGATGGAAGAGGGTGTCGCCGGTAACAAGTGCAGCCTCGATACAGCCAGGAGTCAGCAGAGAAAGCTCTCTAAGCCCCTCCAGCACGTGAGTGCGAAGATCGGGGAAAGCTCGGAGCTCTGTAACCTGGCGCTCTAGAAGCTGCATGTAGTAGTGTCGGTCTGCGCTGTAGATGCTGTCCTGGGCAGATATAGCGTCAGCCATGGTGAAGGGTGATCGGGGTGATGGGAGTAATAGAGACTTAGTATGGATCTGGTGGATCTGTGGGATCTGTTGGATCTGTGAGGATTGTTGGAGATACTGTTGCTTGGTGAGAAGAAGATATCGAGGTGGGAATCGAGGCTATTTATGTAGTTCGAGTCGTCGAGTTCGATACTCGATGAAGGCTCGCTTGGAAGATGAGAACAATGGAAGGATCAAAGATACTTTGTTTATATCTTATCTTCTTGATCCCGAGATCAAATGAGATACAAAGGCCATTGAGGTATAAAGAGACCGAGAAGAAGGGACTAGAAAAAGCAAAGAGACATTGGCTTTTGTAACTATGAAGAACTTTACGAGACATTGGATGATCATTTCTGATCTCTGTAGTTAAACGTTAGGGGATGGAACGCTCAGACTTACTTACATTACAGAATTCATCTTAGTATTATCATAGTTCTCAAGACAGATTAGGAATTATACTCTACACAGGCACTAAGGGCGGCTCGTCGTATAGATAAGCAAGGCTATTGAAGCTTGGAAATATGACAAGATGCTATTTGATTTGATGTCACTTGAGTATGTAGGTAATATAAAAATACATGTAGTTGAACAAGACAAGTTTTTCCGGCCCGGCAAATGTACATCTTTTCCGTGTCCTGCAAGCTCCGAGTCGATGGATATGTACTCAATTCCTGTTGTTAATTGTATGTATGGGTTACCATGCTTCCCCTGTGAACTTCAATGGAACATGAAGCAACCGATGACCAAACTTCGTTGGCGAAGGAAGATGTCCAGCTCGAATGTTGACCTGCAAAGACTGGTGGAGCAACTTCGGTGCAGCCAATCCTGCATCACGTTTCTTTCTCAAAGTCACAAACTCTTCTTCGCAGATACTCTCTTTGAGATGTTTATTCAGCTTCTTGTGATCCTGGACGCTCACCCAAGGCACAGGGTCACTGCGTCCATCCGGGGGATAGTCATGGCCTGTCCATATCTTGAAGTGGTCAGGGAAGCTTAGAAGCTTTCGACCTGATTGGTAGAGGTCGTTGGCATCGCCACCGGGGAAATCACAGCGTGCAGTGCCGATATCCACATGGAAGAGAGAATCACCACAGAATAGATTATCTAGAAAGCTCTTGTCAGTAACTGTGTAACGAGGTTGTTATTGCTGGTAGATAATTACCTCCAATCATGTAACCGAGATGATCCGGGGTGTGTCCGGGTAGATGAATAGCCGTTCCTTTCAGGTTGCCAATAGTGAAGGTTTCATCATCGTCAAAAAGCTTGTCGAAGACTCCTGTAATTTCCTTTGGTGGAACGCCATATCTCTCGGCGAACAATTGTTGTACTTGTTCAATACGCTTGCCAATGCAGATGGGCGGCTTATGATCTTGATCCTGGGCAAGACGTTTTTGAAGATAAGATGCTGCACTCAGGTGATCTGCATGAGCGTGCGTTTCGAGAATCTTGTCGATCTTATAGCCCTTTTCCTTGATATAAGAGAGTAAAGAGTCGGCTGCGTGAGTAGTCACGGCCTGAGTGGCGGGATCAAAGTTCAAGACCGGGTCGAGGATGACAGCTGTTGATGTCGACGGATCGGCGATCAGATACTGCCATGTTCCAGTTGCGGGTTCGAAAATATCGTGAATCACAGGCTCAGTAGATATACTGGATGCAGTGCTATATGAGACTTGACGTGGGATTGGTTGGTTGGTAGGGATGGAACATGAACGTGGCGAGAATGGTTTGTTCAAGCTACGAGCCGGGCCTTTTTGTGATTGACGAACTGTCCCCTTGGTCGAAATGCTGTTTCTTGAATATTTCGCGGTATGAGATAGACCTGTTTGTGCCGCTTGTTGTATATGACGCAATTGTCCAAACCCGGTCACCATTGAAGTTCGAATGGGCCTGCTAGACAATCTGAGAAAGTCTGACGACCATTGCCGGCCGATTCTTGATGATTGCCGAAAGCTGATCATGATATATTGTATTTGAATATCAAAAATTGTTGAATGGAATGTAAAAGCTGTGGTGGCCATACTTGAAAGACGTGAGTCGGCGATTGGCGAATGGCGATTGAGGGTCGGCGAGCATCTGGTCGCCGATTGAAAGAGTCATTGACATCGCGGGATCCACGACAACATCCATGGATACGTTCGGGATTTCTATTGTTCAACCCCGGGGAAATATACCCCGGGGAAATATGATAGCGAAGTACATTTTAGATGTTGCTAACGCTCTAATCCCATATGTTAAGGTGAATCAAGGTCACACATTAAAATCGAGGCCACAAACTACCATCAGGCCTAAAGTGAGATATGTTAGTCCAAATGAAACATATCGAAGTGAGAACTTGTACAATACAATGCACATGCATGCACGCCACCAATTTAGAACACAGTATTCTTTCAAGTGGATACCGTCAATAAAATACAGAAAAAGGTGAGAGGTACATACTATGAATCAAGTAATATTAATTATTGGTATTAGTATTACTGGCAAACATGCATATGAAGTATATGCTTTGTACCAGTTCTCAGCCCCTCTAGCAAGGTAGAACATGAAACATGTAAATATTATAATCCTATTGCTATAGATATCATAGTCCTGTTGCTTCAAGGGGGAACACCGAAAGCGTCGGCGAATCAAGGCCGATCCCCGATATCGGAAGGAGTTAATCCGAAATCACGACATCGTAAGTTCAGCTAACTATTTTATATGCTTCAAGGCTCTTTTTCCAAGGTCACATTCTGCCTCAAACATGTTTCAGCGTCGCACAGTAGTTGCTGCCAAGCGCTCAGTCGCTCAATGGCGGAGTCTCGCAACCGCGTCTCCCGTGAGCTCCGGACGCAACCATAAGATTGTAGTGGTCGGCGGTGGTACTGCTGGTCTCACCATCAGCCACCAGCTCCTGCATTCTGGAAAATTCGCACAAGATGACATTGCTGTTATTGATCCAGCCGCGTGGCATCACTACCAACCCGGCTGGACATTGGTTGGCGGTGGCCTCAAGGACAAGACGGAGCTGCGCAAGCCATTGAACAGCTTGATTGATCCCAAGTTCAAGTTCTATAACGAGGGTGTAGGCGCCTTCACTCCCACTGAGAATGCGCTCACTCTTGAAAATGGCGATAAGATCAACTATGAGCATCTGGTCGTGGTGCCCGGTATTAGCATCAACTATGGCGCTATCAAGGGTCTCTCCGAGGCGCTTGCGGACCGGAACTCAACAGTTTCGACGATCTATAGCTATGACACCTGTGACAAGGCTTTCCGCAACATTGAAAACTTCCGCGAAGGAAATGCCATCTTCACTCAGCCAGCCGGTGTGGTCAAGTGTGCGGGCGCCCCGCAGAAGATCATGTGGCTTGCGTTGGATCACTGGAAACGAGCTGGCCTCTACAACCCTACCAACCCCTCTGCCTCTCCCGTCAAGATTAGCTTTGCCACCGGTCTCCCAATGATGTTCGGTGTGCCCAAGTACAGCGCCGTCCTCGAGCAGATGCGAAAGGACCGAGGCGTGGAGGGATTGTTCCAGCACGATCTCCTTGCTATTGATGGCAAGGCCGCCATTTTCGCCTCTCCCGAAGGAGAGATCACCAGACAATTCGACATGTTGCACGTTACCCCCAAGATGGGTGCTCATGGCTTCGTCAAGAACAGCCCTCTGGCTAACGAGGCCGGATTCGTCGATGTCGACGACAACAGCACCCGCCACAAGAAGTTCCCCAATGTCTGGTCTGCCGGTGATGCTTCCAGTTTGCCCACGTCCAAGACCGCCGCGGCAGTCACTGCCGAGTCACCGGTTCTCGTTCGCAACCTTTTGCAAAGCATGGAGGGTAAGGAACTCGATGCTTCTTACGATGGATACACCTCATGCCCGCTCTTGACTCAGTACGGCAAGGTTCTTCTTGCCGAATTCAAGTACGGCGGAGTGCCCAAGGAGACATTCGGAGACATGTTTGGTATTGACCAGGCCGAGCCCCGTCGTGCATTCTGGCACCTGAAGAAGGACTTTTTCCCCTGGGTGTACTATAACTACATGATCAAGGGTAACTGGGGTGGACCTAAGGGCTTCCTATAGAGGAACCGTGGAGACCGTGTATATTATCTCTGTGTTGCGATAGGATGGTGGTACCTGAAGGTTTTTTTGATAATTATGAGGTTGCAATAAAAATAGACAATCCTAGAGCGAAGCATCTCCACAGTTCTAAGAAGATAGTGTTCAGTTCAATCCCAAGTTAACCAATTAACTCGGGAGGTGTAGTAGTTGAGGTCTGTTCTCACATGCAAGTCTCACCTTCTGCTGGAGACACGTGACTATGTTGTACATGACGTCATCGTCCATCATATCCATCGATATCGATAAGCGTTCAGCGAATCCTCTGGTGGAATTGTTTACGAATGACTCTCTCATCTTCGATGTTTAAATTCACAATGTCTCTACCACTGAAATTTGACCTCTTCTATTTTATATTTTCTCCATGTACAACACTAGTACCGATATCTGGGTTGTGAGTATCTCCAGTCCAACTACACGCGTTCCTAAATTTCACACATGATACATTCAGAGTTCAATCGCTGACTGGAATATATTCTTTAGGCAGGCGCATTTGCGGCAGTCGTAGTCGATTTTGTCGTCTACCCATTCGACACACTTAAGACCCGTGTCCAATCTCCAAACTATGAAAAGGTCTTCAAAGATGCGCGCACAGGAGCAGTGCAGCGTAAAGTACTCTTTCAAGGATTGTACCAAGGCGTCTGGAGTGTGGTATTCTCGACAATTCCAGCGTGTACGTGTTGTCTCTTATCGGTGACCGGGGAACCAGGAACATGACAGCTGACGATCCTATCTACGCCAATCTAGCCGGTGCATTCTTCACCACATACGAAGCTGTGAAGCACATTATGTACAACTCCTCAACAAAATATCCCACAAGCATAACGGGTGGCAAGGCGACGGCCCCCGAGGGCTCTCTAAATAGTCTTCGCTTGCCCTTTACACATTCCCTCCCTACTCCAATCATGCATGGAATTGCCTCTTCGGCCGGGGAGATGGTGTCATGTCTCATGCTCACGCCGGCAGAAGTACTTAAACAAAATGCGCAAATGATCCAAGGTCGCCAAACAAACAAGTCCGCCATGGGACAAGTGCTATTGCGATTCCGACGTCATCCTTGGCGCCTATGGAGTGGGTACACAGCACTGGTTGGTCGAAATCTGCCAACTACAGCTTTACAATTTCCGCTCTTTGAGTATGTGCGATCACGCCTGATTGCCCGACGGAGGCAATGGAAAGCGAACCGCAGCAATACTGGGCGATCACCGTCGGAGCAGTCAGAACAACTAGTCGAACGGGCCGGCTTGACGGGTATAGCTGCGGCATGTTCGGGGACGGTCGCGGCGACGGTGACTACTCCAATTGACGTGATCAAGACTCGCGTCATGCTTTCGGCGAGTGATTCTAGCATGAGTTCCCAAGACCAAAGTACTCGGGCCGGTACTCATGGAAGTGAAGTCTTATCTTCGGAGGCACAAACAAAAGCCAAGCCTAACAAATCTCTCATTTCTGTCGGTCGTGATATCATACGTTATGAGGGCATCCGTGGGTTGTTCAAGGGCGGACTGATACGGGCTGGTTGGACGGCGATTGCATTGGGCCTGTATCTAAGCCTGTATGAGGGAGGCCGGTTTTATCTGGAGAGTCGGCGGAAGGAGCGGGACCGTATCAATGGGAAATTTGGAAAGCAGATTGACGAAGGCGAGGAGGTTATCTAGTGAAAAGGGAGTGTGTAGTGATAAACCCTTTCGTCACGCTACCGTCGCTGTCAGTGTAAAGGCTCATGGATACTCGACTCACAGATCTCCGTCGTCAACACTATCAACCCAGTCTTGAGAAGAGGATCCTTCTTTGTGTTCAGGGACTTTCTTGATATCCCTTTGAATCCATTGTAAAGACAAAGTGAGCTGGCATTGAACAAAGGAACCCCACTTTGCAAGGTGCATTGTATTTTGGTCTCTCGAGGCTCTCTGAAAGATTCAAAGTCAAAAGAGAACAAAGGGCGTCTTTGAGCTCAGGCATAATAATAGCCGGGGGTCTTCAACTATATAAACCATATTCCCAGCCTGCACATAACCGACAACCAACACTCTACTTCTGTGTTCCAATGCCTCTATACAATCCATTCAAGCGATCACAAAATACAATCATGTTGCACACATCTAAACGCCAAGATAGATACCAAGATTCGGACAGTCCTATGGATACCCTTGTGGACACTGACGAAAGCTGGGATGCAGATGACGAGGACTCTGGTTCAGACAGCATGTCCGATGCTTTCAACTTGGCGCCGATGTCAGTGGTACTAGGACTGAAATCCAAAAAGGAAGTCCCCGGCTTGTTTCGCTTCAGGGTCCGCCGTGAAGAAGACAAGTTCCTTGGTGCCTCGGGTAAGTCTGATGGCTGGATTAACATCTCTCATTTCCTCTGGACCATGTGTGCTACACTCGCTGATGCAGGCACTGATCGGGAATGGACAGCGACATTCGAGAAATCCCGACCCCAGTGGAATAAGATCCAGGTGCAGGTGAAGAGGTTCGGATTTACTCAGTTTTCTTCTGAGATCCCTCCTGCACCGGTTGATCTTGCGTTGGTCCAATTCTTTGGATCCCAATTTGATGGAGAGGTCAGGGGATTTGAGATTGAACAAGAGGATCTCAATACTGTCCCTGATTCTCAGGATATCTGGACACTCTGGCGATATATTATCGAGACACCTGCAGATGAGATTAAGGAGTTCCACGTTACCCTTAGAGATACTGGGAAGCTTATGGGCTCTCAGTAGATTGTAAGATACATGAGTTATTTGCACATGTGAGGGAATATATTTGTTATTGAATCGAACTTGTTACTCATACTGTTTCTTCGCATCTAGACATACATTACATTACCGTCCTCAACTTTATTGTTCAATACAGTTTCGCATGTCATGTTTTATTTCACTGTAGTACACTATTCCTGTGTAGCCCTTCAAATATGCGATTAATAGTAGACCTTATTTCCAATATGCTAAGAAAACTTTAGGTTAGTCAAATCGTTTGTTTACACAAGCCATATATATAGCTGCAGCCAGGGGTCGGATGTACAGCAGTATCAACTTCCAAGCAGTGCGGAAAGACATTATGAAAGGAAACACCTGAAAGTATATTATCAGGCAAAGATGAAGGGTATTTAAGGCTCCACACAGTTTAGTTCAGGGTAAAACCTCTATGGAGGGACCTTGGGTGACCGGAGTTCTCAGGGTTCCGCAGATCACCTGAGTACCCAACGTTCTGCCGTTATCCACCGCGCAGAAAAAGGAAAAATGTAAACAAAGCAAACAAACGTAGACCGCTCACTCCATAGCATTTGAGACGTCACTCCTCAGTAGTCACTAAGCTGAAGGTCTCGTTTTCCTTCACAGTTGTATGGGTTGCGCACCTTCTACGTTGGGGTCCGTCCCTTTTGCCATCATTCACTTCGCCCGCGCTATTTCCCACGCGTCCTGCCACCCTGTAGCAAGCATGTACTGATACATGGGTTTGGTTGGATCGATATGAGAGCTTGCCATTCTGAGAATACCACTTAATCAGATGCGTTGTTACCAGTAATTTCTTTACCCGATGAAAGCCCTACTTCTGAAAAGAAAGTCCCGGTCAATAGCAATGTCCCCAGATATGATATCCCCCCTATAGCATACCGCAAGTCTTATAACGATGTCAAGACACTTGCTACGGCTAGCGCCATAGATTGAGACTGGGAATGATATGCAAAATCCCCTTCCCTGGTGTACAGGTTCAGAGTCGACTGTGAACTCTCCGATCTGGAGACGTTGGATTGTAAGGTTCATCAATTCGTTGTCAGAACAATGGCTGTCCTTGTTCAAAAATCTCACTGTAAGCCACAGCGTGCCTCGGAACAAGCCATACTCATCGATAGTAGGAAGGCCTTCACGGAGAAAGACAGTTCGTGTGGAATGCATTTCTTGGTCCCTTAGTAGTAATATGTGGACTTGAAAATGGCCGAGGTAAATATTTTGCCAGTTCTTGCTTAGGTCACGATGGTAGTATAGTTAGATAGTTAGGTGTTCAAGAAGTTTAAACACCAGATAGTCAGGGAAGAATATCCGTTCTTTGACTTGGCCAGGAACAAGGACTTCCATTGTTTGGCCATTTTGTTCTGAGATGTAGCCAGTAAAAGAGATCAACCTTTGTTACTGTATCTATATACCGGCTCCAAAGAAAGAATCCCAGTTCAAAGACCTCAAAGAAAGGCATGGCAACAATGAAAGGACAAAGACTTTGTTCTCCCACCATTCAAAGATACCATGAGCCAAACTATATAATGGTGTCAATTTCCATTGCTTTGTAGGAATATTCCATTTGTTCACTCCATTTGTCCAGTCTACCTAGACTACAAACTAACCAATTTTGCTGCAGGTACATAGATCTTCTCCACCGCGAAGATGGCTAAGGACAAGCAGCCCGCCCAATACGGTTCCACTGGAGCACGGAACAACAGTTTTATCACTGAGCGCGAGGTTGACGGCGAGCGTCGTTCGATCCGCATCTACCACGATGGTCGGGTATCGCAGCGCGAGGGCCAAGATGGCCCCGTTCGAACACCAGCCAGCAGCACTGGAGCTGGCCCTAGCACCGAGACCGTCCGCAAGACTACGACTGCTCCCAAGTTCGAGGATCTTAAATGTGATCCCGAGACTGCCGCTGAGATTGTTCAGTACTGTGGTGAACTTGAGGAGATCCTATCGCAGCTGCCCGCAGAGTATCATGAGAAGGATACTAACACTCCTTCGAAGCAGTGGAAGCAGATGGGTGGAAAGGACCACGCTAGAGATTCAGACATTCACCACTAGATGAATTTCTAGCGGGCGATCCACAGTAATCGTGACTTCGGAGCTAACATAGGACCATAGCACAATATGAGACAAGGTAACAAGAGATTCCTTTCATAAAATTGTATCATTAATGTAGGAAAGTATAACGTAGAGTGTTGAGAAGCAGAGTGCCGAGTACTACGGTATACCGTCCGGTTTCAGGTAGACCTTCGAGCGTCGCAGTGCATAGCGACCTTGGGAATTTGGTATAGGTTTTACGAATCAACACTTGTGGCTTCTTCGAATTTGATTATTTTTCAACTATTACATCGATGTGATCAGAAGTTTCGCTGGCAATGAAAGACAATAGAAGTAAAGTCCCAAGTGGTATGCACTATACACAACAGACAGTACAATTGCCTAAGGACTATATAGGCCACTATGCAATACCATAAGACTTCTATTCAATTGTTCTAGTGCCCTGAGGTGTCTGTAATCGTCGCATCTTCACTTTCCCTTTCCCTGTCTTGCAGTCAGCAATATTTTGTATTCTTATCATCTTCACATCAGATATATATTTATATTTATACATTTATCCCTCTCTCACTTCATTGCATGTTGCGTCTCTGCCAGCCAAAACTGATTATTTCCACCGCCACAACGTGGATCAAAAGTCTCAGCAAGATCCACGAATATCACCCTCGAAGATATAGTGGCCGACTCATCGAGCGATCTGGCTGTATATCATCATTCGATCGATCTATCCTGGACTTTCTGGGATTTCAGTTTCTTCATTCGCCGACAAAAATGATGATTTCCGCCGAGTTACACGAGAGGATTCCGAGTGGAATGAGACCAAAGACTGAACTGGTCTCATCAACCCTGTCGTTCCCATTCTCAATATCCCAAGAAAGAAGTGACCCATGGAGCGTTGGAAGGGCTAGATCAATTTATCACCGAAAGGTCCGACACCAAAACAAAGATCCTTGTATCACGACATACTTACTGACTGCCCTTATAGTGCCCAAGACCAATGTGAGGCCAAAGTTACATGGACTTGAAGGATGAATTGCCTCGTGTTCCAGCAATGACCCTGGATTCATCAGCAATACTAGTCCAACAGCGGAACCCGAAAAAGAAGACATGTCCTCCAAACTCATCCATCTACGATATTGCAACCCTCGCAGATACGTCCTGTATAGCGGACCCCTATGGAGAAGTAGTTGGCCAAATGGCCGATCGTTGCGCGGGTTTATATTAGTGATATTATCAGTGTGGCTCATGCAATCATCCGCAAAGCAGTTCAAGTCTCCAAAGATACGCAGATCTCGCCAAAGCTCATGTCTCTATTGATGGACGATCTTGTTGAGAAATCCTTTGAGAATTGAACGGGAAGGAACCCTGATTCTCTCAATCACTACTTCAATGACAATCTTGAAAAATGGTCAGTTCGCCAGGTTTGGAAGAGATCGTCGGAGAAGGTAGGAATTCAAAGCGAAGACGATGACAGCTGAAGAGAGAGATTGAAGACTTGGAGGCCGGAAAGACAGTTCATTGTGTCCCCAAATATCAAAATATCACCTACAAGCACAGCGGACCGCTTATGCATATGAATGCTTTGTGGTAATTCTTTTGCTAGTCTTGCGAGAGCCTTGTTGATGTTATTTTAGTAGTCTTCTCAGATATTCTTTTTATGTCTTTTCTCCAAAGGTCTTCTCCCTCGCCGGTGTTAGCTGGACATTAGAATAAGACGGAAAAAAAAATATAAACCGTACAGAGGACCTTTCTAAATGTGACAAGGGATGTCCAAGTATCACGAATTTATCATAATATCGATGTTGAGTAGCTTCAATTCTATCAAAAGGGCCTGGCTGGAGCTACATCACTACTAAATCAAACACCCAACATCAGATACAAATGCTACATGTACGTATAAAGGGAACCATGATGTTTGACCCAATGTCTACAAGACAAAGCTAGAATGATAATAACATATCGATTGTTATTTCACAACTATTCCCACTCTAAAGTTATGCACCTAGAACCCCGGCTCCAACAGAATATTCTCAATAATGAAATGAACACACATGTCGCATTTAGGATTGATCCCAAGTCTCGCAGCCAACTGGGGCAGTCTGAGCTGAAGCGCTTTGCACATTTTCGGAACCTCAACGTCGTAGAACCCAGGTGGTTTTGCTGTCACACAGATATGGTCGCTTGCCTCAGATGCCATCACAATAGCAGCTCTCACCAGTCGATTTAGGTGTTCACAGCCGTGTTCGCGGAGGTTGGCTTTCACTTCGGCAACGGTGTCGGACTTCGGTTGATGTCTGATGAGACGGGATTGTTCTGCGAACCAGGAGAGGAAGGTTGTTCGTTGGTTTTGGAAGTCGGCGACAAGCTCGAGGGCGGACATTCTGAGTGCCGGATTGATTTGAGATGTGAGATGTGACTGGGTAGTGGATTTTAAGTGCAAGTCTCGAGGTCTGCGCTTGTCTAGCTTAGGGGGGTTAGAGTTGATTTTGAGGGAAAGTGCTCAGGCTCTGTGGCGTGGATGATGGAGCGAGTTTGAGACTTGAGCGGATTGGCCTGGTGAAGTCAGTTGGTTGGAGACGAGGTATGAGATGCATATAAATGATTCATGATACCTCGATGTAGTGGGATATGGGGATATTCACACTTATCTAGCTCGGAGGAGACTTTGGAGATTAGAGCAACGCATGATTTCTGGGGTTGGGACTATTGGAGGAATGAATGGCATTGAGGTTGTTTCCTCTAGAGCTGAGTGAGAGAAAGAGGAAACCTTGAGCATCAGGCACTCTTCACTTATAATTTGATTTTCTGTCTGGAGTTGTAGCCCATTTATGCCTAATATCTGCCTTATAGAAGCCTGTATTATTCCTAGTCTTAGGTCATATGCACCCCATCAGTGAAGACTTTATACCCGAAACTACAGGGTCGTATATCATAAAGATAGTCTCATTACTACAGCTATGACACTGAACAACTAGAAGATAATAAAGAATCCAAATTGCGTATATTGCTGGGTCATAGTATCATATGAGCTTCATACATGTCATCACTTCGGGTCTGTCTGGACTTTCACCATATAAATAACCAAAAAAGAACAAAACGCTGCAACTAATATCCATACAAAACAAATCGAACAAGTTCCCACAAGGATAAAGAACCAGATTTCTGCTTTACAGGTTCGTCAATTTGCGGAACCAACTGGGTTTCTTAGCACCAGAACTCGGCGGAGCACCTTGTCGACTCCCCGGCTGGGACCTCATCCCACGATCACGTTCATAATCACCACTTCCAGAGCTGCTCTTTACACCATCACGACGAGAGCCGCGATGCCGAGAGCGGGAATCATCAATCTCCTCTTCATACTTAGCGCGACGACGTGCCTTACGGCGCAGAGCGCGACGAGCTTCCTCATCTGACGAAAGAGAGTGAGCATTACCTCCTTCATCAGCTGCAAGAGGAGGCATATCAATAAGAGTGGGGACGATCTCCGGTGGCTCCGGAGGCTCATCACTTTGCTGGTAAACCCAAGAGGAAATCTTATCTTTCGCACCGCGGCCAGAATTTAGACCACCAGTCATGAGTGGCTCCCGAGTTGGCTCAGGGGCGACCTTAGACTTGCGACGACGAGCGGTCGGTTCTTCAAACGCGCGGGAGCTACGAGCACCCCGACGATCTGTCTCACGCTCATCGGGATAGAAATCATCAGGAATCCTTTGCTCACGTTCACGACGACGACTCGCTCTCGCGGCCATCATTTCCTCTTCGCGCATTCGTCGGCGCTCACGGCGTTCTGCAGCTCTAGCTTCAGCCGCGGCTTCGGCTTCGGCTTCGCGAGCCGCTTGCTCTTCTCGAGCCCGACGTTCTTCGCGTGCAGCGCGTCGGGCCCGTTTTTCTTCCCGTAGACGGTCTTCCTCTCGTAGACGTTCTTCCTCTTCCTCTTCGCGAGCACGCTGTTCGCGCGCCCGTTCCTTTCGCCTCGCGCGCCGCTCCTCTGCTTCCCGAGCTTCGTTTTCACGAGAGTCAGAAGGTGCTTTGCGGGATCCACGTCGTGCCTGTCGAGCTGCGCGTCGAGCTTCCGCTTCTTCGGCTTCTGTGTCGCCGCCTGGTGCTATACCGGGGGCGTCAGTCATGAATCCTTCGGCATCAGTGTCTGGTCGGACAGATCCTCGGCGTCGATCTTCGCGTCGCGATCTGCGAGCACCTTCGCGCTCCATTTCTGCCGGATATCTTGCATCGTCATCACGATACGAGCGCGACTTTCGTCTTTCAGGCATCTCTGGGCGTTCGGGGCGGTCAGGTCGTGTGGTTTTTCTCAAAGAATCCAAAAGCCCCATGAATCCACCGGACTCTTGTTTCTTCGGCGGCGCGGTGTTGGCGCGCTTCAGACGGCGTTCTCTAGGAGGCGCATCAACAAAGGCCATATCCTCGGGTCCTGACATAATTTCTGCGGTGGGATATGCTTGATATGGATCAACCAGGACAGCATCATCCTCGTCATCAGGTCTGGGCCTTGGCTATGAAGGATCGTCAGTTAGTACAGCGGACAAAGAATACTCCGGTCATCCGGTCATACCTGTCTCTTCGACTTGCGCCGTGAGCCCTTGGAGCCCTCCCTGGGTGAGTGACCCTCGGCATCCTCCATATCAACCATAACGAGGTCATCATCCTCGATCGCATACGGATCTCGAACTGCTTTAAATAAAGTCAGCGGGAATAAATGAGAGGTAAGAGTAGAATAAAACATACCTGACTTCCGCCTGTCCGTGCGCGGGCGCTCACGTCGTGACTTGGAGGGATCCATGCCCATCAGCTTGGCTGCTTTGTCAGAAACCTCAGGCTTCTCATCCAGAGGTGGATCGACAGATTTGTCCTCTATATCAAATGATGGACGCCTGGATACGGGTTTCGAAGAAGAACCAGGTTTGCGAGTCGATTTGCTTTTGGACTGGGGTGTACCCAGTACCATGTTGGCCAAGGCGACGCCACGTTGATTCTTCGAGGGCCGCCCCTCTCGTTCTCGGCGCTTTTCCCGGTCAGACGAAGACCTTTCCAATTCTGGCTCGGGGTCTTTGGGTCGAGACCTTGTTGATTTTGTCCTCGCTGCAGGAGAAAGTTCTCGAGTAGACTCTTTTTTCTTGGGAGGTTCTACTTCCTCTTGAACCTTTTCCTTCTTACTCAGTTTCGTTGGAGTCTCTGCTTCCTCTTGAACCTTTTCCTTCTTAGTCAATTTCTTTGGAGGCTCTGCTTCTTCCGGAGTCTTTTCCTTCTTAGTCAATTTCTTTGGAGCTTCGGCTTCCTCCGTACTCTTTTCCTTCTTACTCGACTTCTTCGGAGGCGGCGCAGCCCCCCAAAAGCCCCACGAAGAACTGGTTGTAGTGCGCTCAGGGCGCGGTCGCTCCTTCTTGGAGGATTTTGGAGGCTCTTCGGTAGGCACCGATGGAGGCACGGGAGGAGCAGCTTCGCCCTTTGCTATCTCCTCAGGCACAACCTCGGGTTCAGGTTCAGGTTCAGGTTCGGGCTCAGGCGCAAGCTCAGCTTCGGGCTCAGCTTCGGGCTCTGGTTCTTGTTCTGGTTCTGCTATTGGCTCTGGCTCCGGGTCTAGTTCACGTGTTTCCTCGGGAGGTGGTGGGGTTGGCTCCCTGGGAGCCGCAGCAGCTGCGGCGGCTGCAGCTGCGGCTTTCTCAGCTTCGGCCTTTTTGTACTTCTTAAGTTCCTTTTTCGACATTTTTGAAAGATCTGGGGCTGATGGCTCTGGTTCCGGTTCCGGCTCTGGTTCGGGCTCCGGCTCTGGCTCAGGTTCAGGCTCCGGCTCAGGCTCAGGCTCGGGTTCAGGTTCGGGCTCGGGATCATCTCCAAAGTCTGGGAAGCTTCCAGGAATAGAGTCCTTGGAAACTTTCCTTTCTTCAGACTCAAGAGCTTCTGCTGTTTTAGACTTGGACTTTGAACTCTTCTTCGCTGGAGCGGGCTCCTCTATGGGAGGTTCAGGCTCTGGGTCTGGCTCGGGTTCCGGTTCGATCTTCTTTTCCTTGGATTTGCTCTTGGCGCTTAATTTTTCTGCCTTTGCCTTCTCCTTCTTGGCCTGCTCGAGGGCCTTGATGCGTTCAGCAACACTGAGCTTGGAAGACTTAGACTTGGTCTTTTCGGGTTCAGGGACCGGTTCTGGTTCTGCTTCAGGTTCTGGCTCTGGCTCAGGCGCTGGCTCTGGTTCGGCCTCTGGAGGGTTATCCTCAACATCGATAAGCAGGTCTTCCTCCTCTATGAGCTCTGGTTCCTTCTTCTCCTCTTTCGCTTTCTTCGTTGATTTAGTTTTGCTGGTAGATCCTCCAGTTAGGCTCGACCAAAAGCCTTTGGATGCTTTTTCCTCTTTGGGAGGAGCTTCGATGGCCTTTGTGGTCTTCTTTGAGCCCTTAGAGGTCTTAGGGGCTAGCTCAGCCCAAATGTCGTCGGTATTATCATGGAAAGCTTCCGGATCTGGACTCAGACCCTGAGCAGGAGGTGTCGGCGCACGTGGAGGAGGTTCTTCGATCTCCTTGCCCTTCTTCTTCTTTTTCTTCTCCTTTGCTGGACCCCAGATTCCCCAGGAATCCTCTTCGGCCGGTCTCTCTGGTTCAGGCTCAGGCTCTGGCTCAGGCACCGGTTCGGGCTCGGGTTCGGGCTCGGGTTCCGGTTCCGGCTCTGGCTCAGGCTCGGGTATTGGTTCAGGCACTGGCTCCAGTTCAACAACCGGTTCAGGCACTTCTTCGGGCTTGTCAGATGGAAGCTCGAAATCCTTGCCAGGGATAGGAAGGCCCTTGCGCATCAGTTGTTTCTCTCGCTTCTTGCGTTCCTTAGACGATATCTCGCGCCAATTCTCGTATAGAGGTTCATCAGGCACCTTTGGCGCCTCGGGCTCGGGTTCTGGTTCTGGTTCTGGTTCAGGTTCTGGCTCCGGCACGGGTTCTGGTTCAGGTTCAGGTTCCGGAACAGGCTCTGGCTCAGGTATGGGCTCAACTTTGCCTTTGCTTTTCTTCTTGTCCTTTGAAATTCCCCAAGCGGCAAAGGGATCAACTGCTTCTTTGGGTTTTGGTGGGTCATCGATGATAGGCTCCGGATCAGCTAAAAGGTCGATCTTCTTCTTCTTCTTATCTTTGGTCTTCACTGGAACACCCCAACCCCAGTCATTATCTCCCTCGGCTGGTTTAGTCTCCTCCACTACCGGTTCAGGTTCAGGTTCAGGTACAGGCTCAGGTTCCGGCTCCGGTTCAGGCTCCGGTTCAGGCTCCGGTTCAGCCGCCTTAGCTGCCGCCTGCTCTTCTGCCAACTTTGCTGCAGCTTCGTCCTCGTCTTTCCATTTCTTCTCCATCTCCTTCTTTGCTTTACGCTGCTCCCTCTTCGACAGACCTAGATACCAAGCTTCCTGCGTAATATCAACTCTTGGTGGAGGCGCGGGAGCCTCGGGTACGGGCTCTGGATCGGCTGTCCCCTCCTTGTCTTTACTCGTATCCCAACCTCCTCCTCCCCAGTCGTCTGCTGGCTTGGTTTCGGCAGATGGGGAGCCCAAGTCGAAATCGAAATCGCCAGGCTCCGATACTTTCTTGGGTGGTCCCCATGGGTTGTTGTCCTTGGATTCAGGAGGAGCGTCCCCAAGAGGATCAAGCTTGCCACCGGTATTCCAGTCTTTGCCCCATCCCCCGAAACTAAATCCAGTTCCGCCAGTCTTGGGAGCCGCACTATCGAAATTCAAATCCAATTGCGGTGCGGCCTCGTTCAGACTTATGTCCTGGAACCCTCCAGGGGGTGCAACATCCTGTAATTTTACTTAGATGTCCGTCTTGTACAGTGGAAGAGGTGGCCTTACCTTTCCTTTCTTCTTTTTTCCTACATTCGTGAAGGCAGCCCACGAGTCATCACCCCCACCCCCACCGTCATCCTCAGCCCAGCTAAGATTGTTGGCAGCAGAAGCTTCAGCGGCCTTTCGTTCTTCCTCTTCCTTGGCTTGTCTTTCTTCTTCTTCCTTTTCCTTAGCCAGTCTCTCTTCCTCCTCCTTGGCTTTTCTCTCTTCCTCTTCCTTGGCCTTTTGCTCCTCCTCCTCCTCCTGCTCTTTCTTCTTTTTATCCTTCTTTCCGCTCACATTCCAATCGCCCCAATCGTCACCGCCATCTCCCCCATCACCGCCTCCAGCGCCGCCTGAATCACCGCCAGCCTCACCGGCACCACCGTCGCCGTTAGAATTGTCATCCCCTCCTGCCGGTGGCGGCGGCGGAGGAGGGGGTGTAGGTGGCGGTACTGCTTTCTTTGCGGCCGGGGCTTTTTTCTTCTTATGTTCCCGAACACCGATAGGATTCTCAAAATCAATGCGTACATCCAGCATGCGATCTTTCAGCAGCGAGGAAGACTGATTATGCGATTTTTGGCGAGTCGTTGGCGCGAAAGAAACAGCCGTCGATTTGCGCTCCGCGAGTAGAGGTAGGGCAGAGTATTCAGGTGGAAGATCATGAATCACATCGTCGTAGGGAGGCGGAGGCTGGTCGTACGACGGTGGCTCTGACGAGCGAGTCGGAAAGCGAGAACTGAATCCGGTGACCAAATCTACTTTTTGGTGCACCCAGTTATTTGGCAGGCAGAAACTCGCTCGGTCATTGGAGGGAGTAGTCCAGACCTCATCGAGGAGTTTCTTCCCCATTTTCACGCTTTGTGTGTAGTATGCGTCATCCTCCGCGGTGTCGTTCTTCCCCGCGCATACGCGATAAGACCCCTCAATTGCTTCCATGTCGAAAATCCCATGCGCCGAGTTCACGGCCGGTCCGATCACTGATGTGGCAACTCAGCGATGTTAAATAGCGAACTCATCTGTGGGTGGGTTGGATTCGAGTCCTGGTGGGGGGATGTTGTCCCAATCGATCACGGTGTTTTTCGGCGCGGAGTTGCGATAGTATGTTGTTGGTGTGGTAAGGTTGTGCGAGCGCGTGTTGTGAGACTATTAAGCAAGTAGATCAAGTCAAATTCAAGTCAGATAGCGTCCCTGCACGACCGGCGCGACTTTAGGTGTTTTTGGATGTTGATAGGTGATATCTAGATGAATGAAGGGGCGGTAACACAGTCTGTAAACCTGAGCCTGTTGTAAAATGAACACAATGAGTTTCAAGGAGTCAAGGGAGTCAAGGGAGAGAAATAGGGAAAAGTTCGACTGGGGAGGGGATCTTCTGGAGAGGCAGGGATAAGTTCAGGCGGTGGAGGTGAAGATCATCCCATTTAGCCCGCAAACTTTCAATGTATGTACTCCTTCCGTACAATGTACTTGTTTGATGTGCTTATTTCATTGATGTAATCGAAGGTGCTTTGATATTACATATCATAGAAGTTACTTGAGACATGCAAGTTGAACCGCATACTTATATGAACACCCCGAGAAGATAGGAAAAAAAAAACATAGATGGCTGGGGCCACAGAAGGGTCAAGTGCATACTCCGTACCTCTACGAAGAATGGAGGTAAACTTGGAACTGAAGATATGTACTCTGTACATATGTATACTAACAATATGTAGGTGTAGATTTTTTGTCTACAATATGCATGCGCGTCGCATACTCGAGAGGTCGAATGTTGCACAGACCCCACGATAAACAGTTCCATGGTTCCCAACTTCAAGTCCATGGATTATGTTATTGGGCACCATGGTACTATACACCCAAAATCCAATTGGCTATATAAAGTACAAGATATATATCCCGTCCAATATACACTGAATATACACTGACAATTTCATACAATGCAGGGACTCCCTTCTACTGTACATCGTAGTTTCGTTTGTACCTGCAATGCTCACATCCTCGAGTTTGCCTACAACATGTGTTTTACGGAGTAAGTTGCATGAAGTACTCCGTAGATGCTGGAAAATTCTCCTCGAGCCCAATTACTCAATGCAAGTCCTGGACTAAGAGGGCCACCTGCAAGCGCAACACATCCTTTCACACCGCCACTTGAGTGTCGGAGCAAAAAAAAAAAGGGCCCAGTGCGGGGTTGGTGGAGAGTGTGCGGCGAAAAGGATCGCAAGGGTATTTTTCTTTCTGACTCATTCAATGGAGACACTGTCATGGAATTGAATTGGAATTGGAGATGGTTAACTCTCCATAGATTGATTACGATATCATATTGCGGCGCTGCCACAGCTCGATCAAACAAAAGACAATCAGTATAGAGAAACACGGTTTGACAGGACGAACTAGAATACAAAAAGGAAACGGGAATCAGGCCATATGGGGAATTGAAAACAACATATGACAAACAAGCTTGAAAGTCCAAACTGAGCTAACCGCTTTCCGGGAGGAACTAGGTCAAGACTATTCCGATGGAAATCCCCAGTTCAGGCTCACATTCAAGTGGAGTCTTCCGAGTCATACAGAGAGCTCTTGGGTGCCGGTTGACCGTACGCCTGCTGGTGCTCTCGCTCATAGCGCTCGCGATCTTCAACTTGCAATTTGTGGTAGCGCTATATTCAACGTCAGATTCTGCAATTCGGTATTTATCGATTCAGTTAAAGGGCCCTTACATCTTTCTCCGATTGGGGTAGTCTAGTCCATTCCTCGGCAATGGCTGTGAACGTCTCTGTGCCGGGCTTTCCCTGGTAGCTAGCGGTATCGATACGGTCCGCCAAGTATAAAATGTAGGCGGATTTCGGTTTTTTGGGCTGGCGGTCATCTTTGATGGGAGTGTAGTGCTTTTTGCCAAGACGCGAAAGAGTCAGGCGGGCAGTGTTGGCCTCCTTGATCTGGAGAGGCGTGTGCGTCTTGACCCACGCGTCAAAGGCAGCGGCGTTGGCGGCGATATTCGCCTTGGCCTGAGCTTGAAGTCTCTGGATTTGGGGGGTCAGCATGCCACTCCTAACGTATACGGAGAAGCTCAAGGGCACATACCTCCAACTCAGAGCCACTGATGGATTTCCCATGCTCTATAGCGACCAGGAATGCTTCCGGTTGCTTGTATTGACCCTTGATCTCGCGCAGCTTCTCACAAACAGCAAGAGTGTAGGCAGAGGTGGGCAGCCTCTTAGGCCGCTGGACCAGACCGGTCGTCTTGAGCTCTTTGATATGAGTGTTGTGTTTCTTGCGAGTCTGAACTTCCTGTTGTTTCTCGCTGAGAACTCTCTTCTTCTTCGGTTCGCTGTTGGCTTTGGTGGAGCTCTTCGCCTTGGGTGTCTTGCTCGCCTTGGGAGGGGTAGAAGCAGTCGCGAACGCATTCGATTGGAACAGCGATTGGATGGAGGAAATGGGTTGGACCTGTGGGCGCACCAGACCAGTGTTGGCTGCCAGACAGAGGCTACCGAGTTGGTTCTGCAAGTCGATCACACCAGTACGGCCAGGGAGGGCACCGCGGTGGAGGGTGCGGAGGAAGCCCCCCGAGCTGCCGACTGCCAAGACATGAAGGGATTATCGAAGCCTATTTAGCTATAGCGAGTTGAAGAAATAAAAGCAAAGATGAGACAAATCAAACAATTGAATCTTCAAAAGCTAGAAATCGATAGAGGAGCTGTTGACGCAAGCGGAGCAGGAGTCGCGCTTGCTGCGGTGTACCTGTCCGCATCGGGACTAGCCCAATCATATTGCATTATGTAAGCTGTTTCTTCAATCCAGCGGTTTGCGCAGTGACGATATACAAACGCCTCACACGATCCTCTCTCTCGGTGGCCTGAAGCCTGAATTGTTGCCTCACAACCTTTTCTCGCGGGGCGCTTTCTCTTTCTCCCTCCCTCTTCCTTCGCTCCGTGTCCCCGGTGATATTGCGTTCCAGTAACACTCACTAATCAGCCTGCAACAATGGCTCGCCACGGGGATACTCGCTCACCATCACCTGTAGGCAGTACATACTCTTCATCCCGACGGCCTCGCAGAGAGGATGATCGATATGACAGAACTAGACGGGATGATGGGCGCGGTTACCGCAGATCCCGCAGCCCAGAGGTACGTGTGGCGCATCACAAATTCACATCTTCTCTTCCAATCTCTGACTGTTCTCGTGATATCCAGAGACGTTACCGTGGCCGCGATCGCCCTCGCGACAGAGATGCATACCGCCGACGAGACCTTCCCATAGACCGGCGCGACGAAGATACTTATCGGCCAGCTCGAAGAGACCGATCCCGAGAACGGCGCCGAGATGATGACCATGATAATCGCCGCAGAAGTCGTGATAGAGATTACCGTCCCAGGCGAGATGACTCCCGCGATCGGGACCGCAGACGGTTAGATGATTCTGCTGACTTGAAGCCCAAGTCTAGACGGGATGACAGCCGTGATCGTGCTCTGAGCCGACGGTCCAGGTCCAGAACCCGAGAGGTAAGCTACCCGCACCTTGCATCATGCCGAGCTCTCGATACTAATTGTATCCCGCAGCCATCAAAGCCGTCCACACCGGCCCCAACTGCCCAGACAGACGAGGAGAAGAAAGCAGAGAGACTCGCCAAGCTTGAAGCATGGAAACAGAAACAAGCAGCCGAACGCGAAAAGAAGCAAAAAGAACAAGCATCACTTGATCCAAAAAAGATCCTCGAAGCGATTGACCGTAAATCAGTTGTGCCTCCAGCTGCTCCTGCCGCATTTCCCGGAAAGTTGAAGTTTGATCCAAAGGCCATCGTCAAATCATCCACCACGACCACCGCTGCTCCCGCCGTGCTTGGTACGGATGTCGCTGTCCCGACATCAGCCAAAGTTCCCGCTGCCACAAAATCCAACATACCTCCTGCTGCACCGGCCACGCTTTCTGGTCCATTGAAAGCCAAAGGTAATGTCAGCGGATTTGGCCTAGGTGCGAAACAACCTTCTGAAACAGAGAAATCCGCTGCTTCTAAAACTCTGGGCTTTGGTGACGGGGATGAACAATCCACACGTAAGAAGCTCGAACGATTGCCGACCCCGCCTCTCGATGTGAGTGCACAGGTGGACGATGCCGGTGAAGACGACGATGTAGACATGCAAGGCGAAGAAACAGAAGAACAAGCGGCAGCCGCAGCGCATGCCGCAGCTGAACGCCGAGATGAGCGGCTCCAGAGTCAAACTGAGGATGTTCACATGGAGGATTCGACGAATGCGCAGACCGATTCTACCCCCATGGAGGTTGACGATGCCGAAGAGGTCGATCCCCTGGATGCTTTTATGGCTGAACTCCAAGACTCGGCGCCGCCTGAAAAGAAAGTCGGGGCCACTTTTGCGAAGAAGAACACACAACAACAACCCGAGGCGATGTTTAACGACGATGAGGATGTGGATGTGACTGCAGTTGGTGATGAGAAAGCTGAAGATGTCCTGGCGATGGCAGCAATTAAGAAAAAGAAGCGGGAGATCCCTGAGATCGATCACAACAAGATCGAATATGAACCATTCCGCAAGGAATTTTACACCGAACCCTCTAATCTTGCTGATATGACCGAGGAGGAGATAGCAAACTTGCGCCTTGAACTGGATGGCATCAAAGTCCGCGGTGTCAACGTCCCTACGCCCGTTCAAAAGTGGTCGCAATGCGGTCTGGGCGTGCAGACATTAGATGTCGTTCACAAGCTTGGGTGGGAAAACCTCACATCCATTCAGGCGCAAGCAATTCCCACGATCATGTCTGGTCGCGATGTCATCGGCGTGGCAAAAACTGGCTCAGGAAAGACCGGTGCCTTCCTCGTTCCGATGTTCCGACATATCAAAGACCAGCGGCCCCTGGCTAGTATGGAGGGCCCCATCGCTATGATCTTGTCACCTACCCGTGAACTGGCCACCCAAATTCATAA